AGATATATAGGCGTGAAGAAAATGGTTTAGGAACGTGAGACGTAGCTATACTTTACAATTGTATTACAAGCTTTCGGCTTGTGAGGCCTTTTTCAGGTTCTGAAGTGCGAACACATACAGAAAACAATTATCTATATATACATTCTTGTTTGCATTCAAGCTTTTGCCTTTGTCACAACAAGGTGCCAATAGGTTCCACAATCCCATCATTACATCATAACCACACAACAGAAACAAACATTTATATGCAAAACAAAAATAATGAAATACCTGTGCAGACGATCTAATGTTTATTACAAAAATCAGATCTACCAAAACGAGTCTCCTGCTCATGCGCATAGTTAAAATACATATGTACATGAATATGTATGAGGTTCGTATTACACCTAATGGTAGAATTTCATAGCAGGTCCATAAATGAGCGCAATAGGGTAATAACAGAATTAGTTTATCAAAAAACAGTTTTGGAATCAACGAAGTCATAAGAATAAGATAAGGACAAAATATGTTACTGGTTAGGTAGTATTCTAAGCACGTTTTTGTTTTGTTTTACCTTTTAACAATATTCTATTTTATCTATAAATTAAAATCTCATTGAAACCAAATTTCAATACACAATAATATTTGAACGAGAAGCTATATTTGGCCTATTGTTTGCATAGAAGATTAGTGTCAGTTTGAACTCTAAACCTCTTGGGAGTCAGGTGCAAGAACCAACAACTGATTTGATTGTTTTTTTTATTTCATTTATTTCTGCATTTTTCCAAATACAATAACTGAATAATAAAGAACATTTAAACGTAAGGTATAATACAAATACGCATACAATAGTAACTCCATGTCGAAATATGATTTACGTATATAAATAATATAACGAACTAAATATTTATATAAATTAACATATTATTATACATTTTAATTAATATCCCAACAATCTGTGGAAAAGGTGCAGGAGACCTCAATCATAAGAGACGTTCGACTAGGATGGCGACCTTAAACGACAAAATCTTGAGGTAAATTTAAAGTTTAAACGATACAACAACGTTAATTAGGTACCTGAATACAATGATCAAGATATCATACACTGTATGCTCTATTGATTTCGTATTTGTTACTCGAAAGCCCTAGATGTAAAATCACTCATAATCACTATTATCGAATTATCGAAGTAAGTAATTTAAAAGGAGGGAAAGTAGTATACAGTGCGCATTAAAAGAAATATATACCCAACTTAGGTAGATTATCATTGAGAAATTATATCCTGTGTGATTTTTAATTATTTATAACTAATATTCTGTTTCATGATACCTCATTCATCATTCATAACTCTGCTATCATGGATGACTGAGCAGCAGCCTTTCACCAAGTATTATCAAACTCCTCTTGTACCGAGGTTGGGCTGAAGCAATGATTGTGCGCCAAAACCACCTACGCATTATTTTTTGTGTGCCTCTAATGAGGTGTCTATTTACATTCAAACATCAAAATAAATTTGTGAGAACAAATACAATTGACACACAATGTTATCAATAGAAATCACATATTTTTTCTCAACTATACAATATTTTGCTACTCTTCATCTAAAGTGCTTGTAACAGTTTCTTTGGCAACCTCTGGTCTGGCTTTTTAAGCTCCTGATTTACAACAATTCTGTTTTTGATTTCTCTTTCAAATACGTATCTTAGTTTGAAACGGTTTTCATTAAATCCATACTTATTCCGGGTGACTAACATTTTGTATATACACCAGAATGCGATCGTTGTTACAACGTCTATCTCTCTGTCAATATTAATCTTAAGTAAACAGGAGATATCCATGACAAAATCAATATTAAAAGTGTACTTCACAACACGTTTGATATAATCAAAGAAATTCTTATTCTGTTCACATTCGATAAACACATGTATGCACTACATGTATGTCCTCTATGACATGGCACTTGGGACAGTATCTGTCGTCTGCTAATCCCCATTTGTTAAGATTTTTCTAGCAGGTAATATATTGTACAGCAATTTAAAATAGAAGTCCCTTAAAGGAAACTGTACCCCAAGAAATGACTTTACTTATTCTGAGAGATCTATTATGTTATTGCCCATTAGTCTACAAGATTGCCAACCGAAATGTATGAGAGTCGAGAGAGGTATAAAGCAATAATAATGTAGCATCGCCATTTTCTTGATAACGTGACGTACCATGCGAAGTCGTTTATCAAGTAAATGTATTCAAATTTATGGATGCTTCCTTTCCAGACGTGTGTGGTGATGAAGCATTTCATTCACCTGCTATTATCCTTTGTACTATAAATTGCCAGAACGCAAATTGCATAACTTAGTTGGTGCTCTCCTTTTCTCATAAATGAAATAGATTTGGCAACTACAATGTGAGTCAAAAAAAAGTTTACACCTAGAAAATTGCTAATTATTTAAAAAATCATTGATGAACATTAAACTGTTATATGTCTTATGAAAGAGTGTTTTATCCCAAATCATTTGGTACCATTTTTGTGTGGTATGTGTTCACGCTTGGATGAACAGGAGACATTGTTTGCGAGAGTGCAAAAATCGACTTGCGCCAAAGTTGCTTATGTGATGTTTGCATAAAACAATTGGGATTTGGGTATTAATTCGGTATTTGCAGATACAAATAACGTCATTAACAAAATTAATCATGCCACACATATCAAATATCGAATATCACATATCAACGAACATTTGTGCGCGTGTGTGTGGGTGTATATGACTTTGCCCTTTGCAAAAAACATATGCAATGCATTTCATTTGATACATTCAATCCATTCTCTCACTCCGCTAATCCCAACATAATACATACTGTAGGCATCACTCTGGCGCAAGTCGATTTTTGCACTCTCGCAAACAATGCCAACTGTTCATCCAAGGGTGAACACATACCAAACAAAAATGGTACCACATGATTTGGGATAAAACACTTTTTCATAAGATGTATAATAATTTACTGTTCATAGATGATTTTAAAACTAATTAGCAATTTTCTAGGTGTAAACTTTTGTTGACTCACACGGTACTATAGTGTAGTATTTATAAATGAATTTACTTACATTTGTTCCCCTGTTATTTATATTTCACCAAATATAATTTCTATCTTCTCAGTTATGATTTTTCCTCATTAAAAAGTAAAGGTTTCGTTATTGATTCAAAAATTATTTCCAACTAAAGCTTGGTGCATGATACATGTACAACTTTAACTGGTACGTCACATTTTCAAGAAAATGGCCGCGCCCATGTCATGCTAAAAGGCATCACATCATGCCAGGAATATCTTCATTTATATATCTCTTGTACATTTTCATAAAGAATATTGCACGTTCAAAGGTCGGGAAGACATCTCATTTTTTCAGAATACCTACACTTATTCTTTGGGTTTAGGTTTCCTTTAAGTAACGTTCCCTTGTATATGTTAAATTCCTTTTGAACATGGAAGACCAGTCAATATTTCTTTGTAGTATATTTTCCCAAAAAAGAAAGCACCTGTTGTTGTTGAATGTATGTTTAAAAGATATCAGGTTGTAGAAACGTTTGCTGCTTAATTTTCTCCAAAAAGACAGCACCTGTTGTTGTTGAATGTATGTTTAAAAGATATCAGGTTGTAGAAACGTTTGCTGCTTACGTCACTGATAGGTAAGGACACCCTTCCAAATTTAAAATAAGGAATTCCAAGAGGGTGAATATAATATACTGGTTCAGTTTCTTCCTTGGTAAGATCACTGAACCATATCTTTGGAATAGCTTTCTTCAATTTAGTATAATCGAAGAAAAGATTGTGCTTGCTTTTTTGTCTCAAGGCGTCCTTAAAGGTCTTTAATAGACAAAAAATGTCTTTCTTCAAAGAGGTCCTTTAGATAAATTATTTCACAACCACACCAATCTGCGTAAAACAAAGACTTCTATTAAAAACATTACGCATTGTTATTTCCGTTCAAAAAAGAATTGCTGGCTTACTCGCATTGATTTTGTGCATTTTAATATTTTAATAAAGCTCATTGACAAGCAAATCTGTGATATTGTCTTAGTTATAATGACAACATTTTAACTTCTCTCGCTTCCTTTTATACGTTATTGAGTCATTCAAATTGGGCGAAATTTACTTGGAATGCTATCTTTTTCCATGAAAGTCAATATCTTTGATAGTTATCAATATGTGTTCTTTCTTGCATTCACTAAATGTTTAAGGTTAGTAAACCTTTGGAATTTGATGTGATGTTCGAGACAAATAACTTATTCATCGTACGCGCCCTATGAATAGAAAAAGATGCAACGGTGCACGTGAGCAGAGAGATCTTAGATATCATGAGACAAGAAGTTAGTAAACTTATTTAAATAATTAAAGTTGATCATGTGGATTGAAACAAGGCCCTGAGGAAGATTAGATACATTGGATCACTATTTTTTTTAATGAAGCACTGAAGCATGACGCAGAATTTTATTTTCAAAAAGGATTAAAGACCAGAATAACTCATGCATGTGACCTGAACAACGTTCGTTGCATCAGCCAATACTTGGTACAAGGAGGTTTTGACGGCACTTTTCAAAAACCCTGGAGCTCAGTCATCCATGGCAAATAAAATGTGAATATGGTATCACGTCACATCACATCACTAGACAAAAAAAAAAGTTGCATATTTGCAAAATCCTACTTATTCAAAGTATATAAATCTCAACTTTCATATTTACATTAGGATTCAAGAAAAGAAACTGAAGTAAGGAGTTATACCAAAAAAATGACTGTGCTGGCGCTTTTTACCTTGTATTGTGTTGTATTGTATTCCTTTTTGTTTGTTCATGGTAAAACCTCACAATCAGTCAAACACAAACAGCTTTTCAGCGAGTCTGTGCACATTTAAACAAACAAGTAAAATCAACAAATAATATTGACACAATTGCTACATGCGCTAAGAAGATTAAATCTTTCACGAGAATAGACTGAAGTAGGGAGTTTTAAAAAACTAACTCCGCTGGCGCTTTTTACTTTCTACATGCGCTAAGAGGATGAAAGAGAATTTTGAAGACGGTCTTACGAAACAACGGTTGTGATACTGAGTAAGCGATAGGGTTAAGGAAACTGTTGGCGTAGGTCAGCCAGGCGACAAAGATATACCAGATGGAGGTGAAGAATCCTTGATGTAGGAGGATTGGGTTGATGGTAAAGATGACAGCCACGATACTGCTTGGTATCCAGGCAACGAAGAAAGAGATAATGATGAAGAGGAGGGTTCGGGTGGCTTTCCCCATCTCACCAGTAGACTCTTGGGGAGTTGATTTAGACTGAAAATATATAGATATACTGATGTTTAGGAAGGGGGTTGTTCAATTTGAAGGTGGATTTTCAAGGGCGTTTTTTGAGTTTGGGTACATGTTATTAATACGTTTATTAATTGACCTCAAAGAGATAATTGAGTTTTGATTCCTATTTTTAGGTTCTCGATAATTCTTACTGTTAAATATTTTTACATAGTATACTCCGAGGCTTACCCAAACGATAGCTGTCGTAGGTATGGTCTGCGATCTTCAGTAACTTAAACATGATGATCTGGAATAAACCAGAGCACTAGTACTTTCAAATGTGTTTTCCAGGGCTTTCTGGTGACAAACAATCCACCTTGTTCATTAAAAATGTCTTCATTCACATCAGTTTCTTACTGGATAAATTCCGACTTGCACATAATGATTGATGTTATGTCGAGCAAAATATGACAAGTTCTGTGGTTGGGAAACCAAAGGGAAGCTTATCTGCCGTAGTTTACAGGAGGGATTAAACCGCTCTACAAGATCACTGAACAGGTGGTTATCTCATCAACTCAGCTCTCAGTTAACATAAGAAAAAGAGGATCATGGGGGACCAATGGTCACCGATTAGACATTGTTTGTTATATAGAGGGCGCAAGTAGCTACCAGTAGTGCAGTTTGCCTTTAGGCAAAAATGTCCCCCTTTTTTTTAGACATTGGTATATACCCCTATTCTTTAATCACATTAACAAGGACGATTTCAACATTTGTTTCTCTTTTTACATGGTCCAACATACTGCTCAAGCATCACACGTTGGAGCTGAGTGTGATGGTCTGAATACTCATTTGTAAGTGAGCGAAGCGAGCGAGCAAAACTGTTAAGATTAGTGAGGTCGCACTGCGAAAGATTGCATTATATAAACGGGAAAACACAATCCTGGTGAGGTTTTAAGCATAATCTAATCATGACACACTTTGAAGACATTAAAAGAGCAACAGAATTATATCAACTATAAATGCGAGCGGCTTTCAGGGGGAATTAAAGGGAAAAAATTGCTCTTAGTCGCTTTAAATTAGGGGCATGTATTAAAGAGAAGGAAAAACAAGAGGGACTTGAAAACATTTCACAGTTAAAGGGCAATTATCAGAGGTAAAACAACAGAAAAGGGAACACTTCTCGCACCTAAAGAGGTACGCTCACCAGAGATGAAAGAACTTATTATATAGGCAAAAGAGCATTTGAAAAGGGGAAAGGGGCACGTTACGAAATGGAACGAGGACTTATCAGAGATGGACAAAATTGCATTTTTTGGAGGGGGAAGGGACACTTTTTACAAACGAAAAGGGGCACTTACCAGAAGCAAAAGGAGTCACTTTTCCTACATAAAAAGAGCATTCGGGGGGTACTTGAAAAAGTGTGAGAGCACTGTGTTCCCTGCCCCCTCCCCTCCCCCTCCCGGGATAGATGCCTCTGGTGGGGAGTATTTTAATGCTTCTTTATAGTTCTTGGATAAGACATCTGATGTGCTCTGTTGTTTTTACCCTTCATAACCTCATACCCATGGCATTATAAAAGAAGCAACCCGCCTCTGACATGTTGGATTTGTTATTTTTACGCATCGAATTTGTGTTCTCTTTTTAAAAAGTTATTTGTCCACAATTGACATTACCCTGAGTTTGTTTGGAATACGATGCGGCGTCATACTAAGTTTTGGAATGACAGAATTTTGGTCAAAGATAGGGACCACAAACAGATAAGTTGCCTGACGAATTACAGATGAAGAAACAAAATATATTGCTGTATTATATACACATATATATCTTCTTGTTTTCGATAGAAGCCAATCTCGTTTAAACTCACCTCAGTTTTCTTTTTGGGTGTCTTTCGTTGTTTGTCATTTGCCTCGAGTGTTCCTTGTAACGACTTTCCAATATCTTTTTCCATACCGCCAACGGCAACCTTTGGTAAGTCTGCCCGTCCTGCAATAGTGATGATGCTGGCATTACTTATTGCCGATTCTTCTTGGACACAGGACCTCAAGTTGAACATCTGGCTCACGTTCCTCCCTCTCATTGTCTTCTTGATCTTCATGTAGATCTTCAAGTACAGAAAGGAGACGACGGCCAAGGGCAGAAACACTTGAAGGAAAATAGGCAAGATGGCGGGAATCAGTCGGAAAGAGTAGCCTGGAACGCAGTGTCGGGTGTTGTAGGCATTAGCCACAAAGTCCCAGCCGGTGGCGTATGACAGCCAGAAGCCAAGACCGATGGCCCATGCGATACCGTTCATCACCACCGCCTTGCGTTTGCTTCGGGACGTGAAATGGTTGATGGGGTCGAACGTCGCTCGGTACCGATCTACGCATATGACGACCATGCCGAGGTTCGAAACTGTTGTCGAGGCGTTTCTAAGGGCAGTGTAGACCCTGCAGAAGTTCATCGAGAAAGGGAAGTAACCGATGATGGTGTGGGCTACTGTGATGGTTAGGAGCATACCAGCTACAAGATCGGAGATGACGAGGTTGATGATAAAGTAGTTGTTGTAGGTGCGGAGTTTCTTCTCGATGATGAAGGCGACCAAGCTGATGACGTTGGCCGATATCATCAAGAAACTGACAGTTACTGCTATTGCGATCTTCTGGTTATTTGGGCCTAATTTCCTTGGGACGGATGGCATCGTTGTTGTTGAGTTAAACCCAATGAAAGTGCTTTCCATGGTGTTCACCTCGGTAAAAATGTCTGTGGTGTTCATTCTGCAGAAATCGTGAAACAATTTCCGTTTATCAGAATGAATTAAAAATTGACAAGTCACGTAGGAAGTATTTGTACTGGTTTTATAAAGAATGTCAAAACGTCCGTGATTTATACAAAGAACCCGTTTTCAAAACTGCAACAGGACTTATTGAGAGCAGGAGAACACAGAGAGTAGAAAACGAACCTCGTCGAATTCAATGTACCAAGTCAACTAAAAAGACTCATAAAATAATCATAATATCGATTTCGCGCCCCCTCCTGCATGATTACGAGACGAAAACCAACCTAAAGGGCGTCCCCTGCGGTCATTTTTTTCAAAATCATCATTATTTATTAATTTTTAATACGAGAGACGTAAGGAAAGAATGTATTATATAGCCGTGGGTTGACGTGTGTGTTTTTTATATGGATTCATGAATATGTTTGATATATTGCTGAGATTTAGAAGTTAAAGGCCGGGCGAAGCTAACGTATATTACAAGAAAGTCTAGATTTCTTGTATTTGTGTAGATATATGTATACAAAAATACAAGAAAAAATGATGATCCATGCACGAAGAAATTGTTTTACGAATAGGACTTTGTCAAGTAATGATTTTTAATTCAATTTGAAAACTAGTATTTTTACTCATCAAAATAAAAGCATACTTCGGGCGGAAATTTGTAAAACATTGTCTTCGTGTACAGAGCATCATTATTTCTTGCATTTGTTATTTTTGTGTAATTCTCGAACTTCGAGCATAAATCTATTTTTTTCTTCTATATACATTTATATATGTATGCATATTTGTAAGGTTTACGGAAACATTCGTCGTATAAGATGTCACAAGGGATTTTTTTTGCGTTACGTAACCGTTTCTTAAAAGAGTTTTATCGACACGTTTTCATTTACGAGCAATGATACAATGAAATGGATATTTGAAATTAACAATTGATATGCAGTAAAACTTCTGCATTTTCCATATAGGCCTGTCAATTTCTTACAACTGAGGGTTGTTTATAACCTTTTTTTAAATCGTTGCTCCTTTTCATAGTTTTATTGATTTAAAAAAAAAAACTTGCATAATAAGTCAGTAATGCAAATATAGACCCACAAAAGACAAGCGTTTCATCGGGGATCGTTCTAATATTTGAATTCATATTCATAATCAAAACCCTCGTGAATTTGGGTCAATTCATTTTATTCGTTCTCTCTCTCTCTCTCTCTCTCTCTCTTTCTCTCTCTCTCTGTATCTCTCTCTCTCTCTCTCTCTCATCTCTCACTCAATACCCCCTTCTCTCTCTCTCTCTCTCTCTCTCTCTCTCTCTCTCGGTGTCTCTATTTCTCCTCCTCTCCTCTCCTTTTTTTCTTCTCTCTTCCTGTCTTTTTTCCTCTGTGTTGGTAAATCATTGTAAATGTATACATTATTTATTCAGCATATTGATCTTGGTTATAACAAGTCCTGAACAATGATAGGATCGATATTTTGCTGTAAAAGTTGATTAATTCATCAACTTCTTTACAGGAACATTTGCCTCTTTGCAAGAGGTGTAGACTATGTCGTTTCCACCTTTCCACATTTCCATTTGTCGTTATGGGTATAAAAACATGTTTTTTTAAGTCTGCGATTGGTTTTTGCTCCTGGGAATTCCACAATCTTAAAAAGAATTCAGCAAAAATGCATGCCACGGACGCGAAACTGCCTTATTTTCTGAATTTAATTTAATTCCAATGAAATGTTTGCTTCTTGTGTTAACTCACCTATCATGGCAGTCAGTTAAGGTAATGGATTTCTTAGAAAAGGCAATATCAAGACCAATAACGCTTGGAAATTGTACTGTGATACATTTTCTATATTGTTCCATTTGTTATTACATGCATTGTACACAAGCTTTATTTATATCAATTCAATTCAATTCAATGATCTAAGTTCAACATGGAGATTTGTTCACATGAAAAACAAAGGCTCAGACATAATTTACAAAGAACATAAGTAGGTTACATAATTTGGATACATTTTGGTGATGACATTAATGATCAAACATGATATTCATTTTCTTCTAGTTATGACTCGGTTCGTTTCCTTAAATTACATGATTTAGATATCTTCATGTATATCTTTAAATCAAAAATATTTACCACTATCAACATATTCAAATTCAGCTTTTAAACTGAAGTGAATTAAATGGGAATTAATCTGATAAACAAGATATTTGAGAATTAAAAAAAAAAAAAAAAAAAAAAAATATATATATATATATATATATATATTTGCAAATGCTAACCATGTTAATGATTATGACGGACTCTTATATCATTTCCGTAAATAACCTTTCTAATTGTCCATGTAACTTATTTTTATTGTTAAGAATAAATAAACGAGATAGTTGGCTAATTTTAATATAGTACACATATTGATTTCGAAAAGGTCTTTTTCCGTGAACAAAAAGAACTAGGCATATGATCCTAAAAGGCTATTTAAATCAAACATTACATACATCATTTTGTTAAGTCGTGGTGTAGGTTACATTCATTATCACTCCGTAATGATAACTTCCACTAGATATTCATTTTTGCTCTTTCATAACGAAACTTAATATTGAATTGTAAAAAGCAGAAACGCTGGATAATAAAAGGCGTTAGGTTTGGTTACAATGCCCTGATTGAATACGGAAGGAACAATGTGTTTGTAAACCACTGTGTCTTACATTCTCAGTGACCTAATTCCTCTCCCTGATCTGAGAAGCAATCAGTCTTTCAGTCTTTTAGCCTTGAAATATATTTTATAAAACGTGACTTTAATCAAGAGAACCGCAGAGGCGCCGATCATACTGATGGGCATGGGTCTTTGTGAAAGTGGGAGGGTGAGGTATGTATGTGTGTGCGTGTGTGTGTGTGTGTGTGTATTTGTGCGTGTGCGCGCACTAGCATATATTTATCCTGGGCAATTATTGATTTACAATATCTAGAGGGATAAAAGATTGATCAAAAATAAGTGATGACGTTTCTGTAGAAAATTGTATTTTCAATCATAAAAAGAATCATGAATGGAATTTAGGCTTCTTTTTTCAAAGATAATAATCAGCAGTCCATATCAAATTGCTGGAATAAAACAGCCGTTTTAAGATTAATTTGTTTCCATATATTCTATTCAATTACAGGTGTTATAATGCAAGAAGGTCGTTGGTGGCAGGATTTTTGAACCGTGACCTTCACCCCGCTTTCACCCCGCTTATAGGTAAGCAAGGCTTAGTTTTTAATTTGTGTTTAAAAAAATTGTTATATTTGATAAAATGGTTGTTATGTTTCGTTCATATCCTAGTATAAACGAATCAGTTCAATTATAAGACATAGGAATATGTTCAAAGAACCTGATATTTTGTTTACAGACAGGTGTAATTTAAGGCGAGAAAGATGTTACGTAATGTGAAGAGGGTTTGATTAATCAATGTACATATAGATTACACGTAGGTGAATTGAATGCGTAGGCTATGATATGCCATACATGTAACTTTGACTACATGCAATTATAAAACAATTTGTTTTTTCATATATTAACAAATAAATGAGGGCATTCGACGAGTATATTGCATTTTTTTATATTGCATTTTTGTATGAGTCAAATGCCTAAAATTTATGGCGACAGTGTATTGAAATGGCTCGTACTCTTTATCACATAAATATAAAACATTCTAACAAATAAGATACTGAGAACGGGATCCTATTCTGAAATTCTATTATAATTGGAGTTTTTTAATTTTACGACAAAAAACACACTGGAGATATTGGCAGCTGATAACAACTGTTATTATCATTGCATCCTCTCTTGTTGCGCTAAAAGCAGTGGCTTCTCTCATCTACTTTGAACTTCTTACGTAACTTGTAAAGCCAACTAAATAAAGATGATCGTGATGACAATGAAAGTTGGTGAATGGATAGGACTTCAAAGCATGAATAGACCAACACCAAAATGTCAAGAAAATAAAAAAAAAATGCTACAAAATGTGAATATTAAATTTTGTATCTGATTTAACCAATGTGAACACTTATATTGGTCTGACAGTGATTATTAGGCGCTCGATTTGTTTGCTATCACCGTGAAATCAACTATTCTGCGTAGATAAACATACAAGCATATATCTATAAACAACTGTTATATTTTATGTATGGCATATCAGTGTAACAATAAATTTGAATTACATATGTCTATAATATTTAGGAACTAGTGACACTCAATATCGAACCGAAGATAAAATAATGTTGTAGACATTTAGTGCATTAGAAACTAACAAGAAAACAACCAGGGGAGAGGTGATACTACTTTCTGCTTAACGAAAAAAGTGGGAGTCCTCAAAAGAGATACATGAAAATGATTATTTTGGGGAGGGTTGCAGTCTAACCCCCATAACCTCTAGATCTTACGCACTCGAAACTGCCACCAAAAGACCATATGATTTTCAAAGGGATTTCAAACTAAAAAACAAAACAAAACAAAAAAGTGAGAACAGTTCACCCTTTTATTTCTACTTTAAATAACGACATCCTACTATCAAAGTAGCCTACCCTATTAAAGTGGGACATAATTTTATTTTAGCGTCTCTAATGAGATATAGTCCATATTTATAGCGATATTAAATTTAGTTGATAACCCCAACAGAGTGAAACAAAATCTTAAAATGTATGATGCGTTTTGACGAAAATGTATGGTGCGGTTATTGGCGCCAGTATTTCTGCGGCCTGATAAAAAGGTCCAATACGGTACGGCGAAAAAGCGGTTGTGACACAGCGTAACAGATGGGATTGCAGAAGCTATTGGCGTACAGGAGCCAGACGAAGAATTGGCGTACTTCTGGCGGGAATGCGCTCACCAGGAGGAGAGCCGGGTCGATTGCGAAGATGAGATAGATGATGGCGTTTGGTAACCAGGCAATGATGAAGGAGAGGATGATGTAAGACAGGGTGCGATTGGCTTTCATCATCTCGTTTTTGGATTCGCGTTTGGCTCCGCTCTTCTTCTCAGCCTGTATGAAATGAATCATAAACTTGATGATCACTTTTTCAGATTGATAAGATGTTTATAATTGACATACTTATGAAATCAACATCATCTATACAAGAAAAGTACACTGACTGAATCCGCCAACATTTTTTTTCTCTTATATTACGGCGTAATAGGGCGTAATAACGCCGTAAATTAGGGTGTGATTACACCGTAAATTAGGGCATTATTACGCCGTACTAAACAGGGGAAATCGGCGGAAATCAGTTACCGAACGAATTTTTCATAAATTTGCATGCAATTACCAGAATAAAATAATTCAATCTTGTTTTAAATTTCATTTAGAATAATAGACATTTTTTAATATTTGTATTTTGAATAGATTTTGCAGATAAGATTAAGAGTCCGCCACGAAGATTATTTTTCATATACTATTTTTACATAAATTTGTATTTTGATATGCGAATGAAACTCAATAATTACATCTAATGCTTTCAGGACAGGTCAAAATAAAGACGAGAACATTTCCAGACAAATCTCATGAATTACTTTCTATCGTGCTCAACAGATAGCATTCACTACATATCCAACAATTTAGATAATAACTCAATATATCTTTTTTCTCAATTTGGATCTGAGATCTGAGAAAGCAATAAAAAAATCCAGCGTATTGTATTATTTAGGTGCGGGAAGAGTGTTTGCATAATAACCACTCATTTCATTGTATAATGACAGTCATATTTTAAATGCATTTTTACTTTACATGAATGTTCCTTGCAAGAAAAAGGTGTCTGCCGTTTACGCTTTTCCTTTTTTATCATATTTTGTCAACTAAGTTGTTCTAAAATGGGATATTTGTGGAAAAATTTCTATGCTTAGACTTTTTGATGGCAGTGTGTATGAAAATGATATGGATTTGAGATGAACGGTCATACATATAAATTATCACTGAATTAATATTCTTCTAGTTTGACGAATGGGAGCAACAGATAAATTATACACAAATTAAATTTAAATCTACGGAAACATTTCCCCAACTGAGTATATTCTTTTAAAAATCGCATTGCAATAATTTGCGGCAGTATTTAAAGAAAAAAATGGAAGAGCCTAATTCAATAATGCAAAGGTTTTTAGACAATCTTATTGTGCGTCTCTAGTACAAGAAATATGCTACCTGATCATACTCATGAGACATGTAAATTGGGATTCTCTATTTTTGATGGTTTAACAAATCATTATAGTATATGGTATCTCCTTTATTCTTCCAATAATCTAAAATTTCAGTCCAAATGGGGGAGGGGTTTCCCGCAATGTGACACGAGTTTTCCCCTTTAATATGGCTTTGGTTCTCATTAGTTAGGAAATGAGGAAAATGTTCTGTCATCATTTTGTTTAAAATATCGATACGTGATTTTGCGCCCATATACCTTTATAAACTTATAAATAATCAGGTTATTCATGATGTAAGACGGATCGACATTTTGGTCCTACCTTTTCTGTTTCGTGTATGTCTCTGACTGGTTCCACGTGCATGTCATTCAGGTTGTTGATATCTTCGCAGACTGTCTTCATTTCGATGCTGCTGATGACAGAGGATTCTCCACGAATTTCTGCTATCACGTTTGGCGTCCCATCCTTAAACTCCCGACCGACATCCTTTCCGCCGATTGTGGCCTTGATCTTGATGTAGATTCTGAAGTAGAGCAAGCAGATGATGGCCAGTGGGACAAAGAAGGTAAGGACATTTTGTATCAAGTTTGGAATGGGGTCTCGGATGTAGGCAGCATAGCATTGCCGAGTCGAGTTGATATTCACGATGAAGTCCCAGGCGGTGGAGTAGCAGAGCCAGAAACCTAAGCCCACCACCCAAGTCAGGGCGTTCATGATGACGGCCTTCCGTTTATTTCGGGATATGAAATGGTTGATAGGATCGTAGGTGGCTCGATGGCGGTCGATGCAGATGACCACGATCTGGAGGATCGAGACGGTGAGGAGGCCCTGACGGCAACCGAGGTAAACTTTGCAGAATCTTTGCGAAAAGGGAAAGTGTCTTAGGGCAGTGTGAGCGACGCCAATGGTCTGGCTGACGCCTATGAGGAGATCAGACAGCACGAGATTGATGATGAAGTAGTTGTTGTAGGTTCGGAGACGGCGTTCGACGATGAAGGCAGCCAAGCTGACGAGGTTGGTCACAGAGATGATGAACACGAGTAGGATCCCCAAAACCAATCCCTGGATGTCTAAACTTCTGGGGAAACCTGCTGTGGAACCATCGTCTTCTGTGACGACGTCAGTGACGTTCTCGAAGTCATTTTCTTCGTAGAATGATGTATACGTATCATTTGTTTCAACACTTTCCATCTTAGATCTCCTGCTCCTTGATTACTTGTTTTTCTTTGTTTATCTTTCTCTAAAAATTTGATACCGTTGATAGTGGATTTCGGTAAAAGTGTTTAAATTTAGTTCTTGCAGGTATCAAATAGAATTAAGACAAGGTATATGTAAATCAATCAAACCCAATTATTCAAGTTATATGGTTGTGTTGCCTAAAATCAAGAGTAGAATCTTTGCAGAAGATGCTCAGTATTTTATATCTACCAAATCTATGGATTATTTACTACTTTATCTCTTCGCCTGACGTTAACTGCAGTCAACCAATCAGAAACTTTAGACCAGGGGCGTTAATCCGTACCGAGGAGTGGGGGGGGGGGGGGATGATCGGCGATAGCCATCACATACTAGCACGAGCACACGCCCACACTAATTTACGCAAGCGCGCGCGACCGCGCACGCACACAAACACACAACACACACACACACACACACACACGCACACAAACGCACACACACACCCAACACACACACACACACACACACGAACAAACAACAAACAATATTAGAGAAAGAAGACGATTCGTTGTATCGTTCTCGAAAATAATCGTCGTCTGAATTCCGTTCCCCCCCCCCCCCCTCCCGCGCGGAGCGCGGAAGCTTTTACTTTTCATTAAATCATTAGGGAAAGAAGACGATTCGTTGTACCGTTCTCGACTCTTAATCCTCGTCTGAATTCAGTTTTTCCCTTCCCTCCTCCTGCGCGAAGCGCGAAAGCTTTTACGTTTCATTAAATCATTGGAGAAAGAAGACGACTCGTTGTACCGTTCTCGACTCTTAATCCTCGTATGAATTCAGTCCCCCCCCCCCCCCTCCCTCCCGCGCAAAGCGCGGAAGCTTTTACGTTTCATTCAATCATTAGGAAAAGAAGACGATTCGTTGTACCGTTCTCGACTTTTAATCCTCATCTGACTTCAGTTTTTCCCTTCCCCCCTCCTGCGTGAAGCGCGGAAGCTTTTACGTTTCATAAAATCATTAGAGAAAGAAGACGATTCGTTGTTTCGTTCTCGACTCTTAATCCTCGTCTGAATTCAGTTCCCCCCTCCCCTCTCGCGCGAAGCGCCTAAACTTTTACGTTTCATTAAATAATTAGAGAAAGAAGACGATTCGTTGTACCGTTCATGACTTTTAATCCTCACCTGAATTCAGTTTTCTCCTCCCCCCCCCCCCATCCCTCCCGCGTGAAGCGCGGAAGCTATTACTTTTCATTAAATCATTAGAGAAAGAAGACGATTCGTTGTACCGTTCTCGACTCTTAATCCTCGTCTGAATTCAGTTTTTCCCTTCCCTCCTCCTGCGTGAAGCGCGGAAGCTTTTACGTTTCATTAAATCATTGGAGAAAGAAGACGACTCGTTGTACCGTTCTCGACTCTTAATCCTCGTATGAATTCAGTCCCCACCCCCTCCCGCGCAAAGCGCGGAAGCTTTTACGTTTCATGAAATCATTAGAGAAAGAAGACGATTCGTTGTACCGTTCTCGACTCTTAATCCTCGTCTGAATTCAGTTCCCCCCCCCCCCTCCCGCGCGAAGCGCGGAAGCTTTTACGTTTCATTCAATCATTAGGGAAAGAAGACGATTCGTTGTACCGTTCTCGACTTTTAATCCTCATCTGACTTCAGTTTTTCCCTTCCCCCCTCTTGCGCGAAGCGCGGAAGCTTTTACGTTTCATAAAATCATTAGAGAAAGAAGACGATTCGTTGTACCGTTCTCGACTCTTAATCCTCGTTTGAATTCAGTCCCCCCCCCCCTCCCGCGCGAAAGCTTTTACGTTTCATTAAATCATTAGAGAAAGAAGACGATTCGTTGTTTCGTTCTCGACTCTTAATCCTCGTCTGAATTCAGTTCCCCCTCCCCTCCCGCGCGAAGCGCCTAAGCTTTTACGTTTCATTAAATCATTAGAGAAAGAAGACGATTCGTTGTACCATTCTCGACTCTTAATTTCTTTTAAAAGGGGGTGGTTTCTTTCTCTCTCTCTTTGGACTCCTGAGAAATGTAAAAAGGAGGTTATAAAATAATGAATATAATAGAAAAATTGATCAAATCCCGGGATCATATTCCTGAAATTCCTGCTAGCTTTGAAAGCTCATTCAGGATTATTTCATTTTGAAAATTAAAAGCATTAGCCCCCAGTCCCCCTCGATCGACCAGAGCTCACCTGAAATTGGGGGGGGGGGGGGTGGTACATTTAGCAGTGTTCCGGATTTTGGGGGGGGGGTTCCAAGGTAGGAAAAGCCAGCGAAAAGCCGGCGAAAGGTGGATTCAGAAATGTTGTAATATCAGGGGGGATGATTGTACAGGCCATCCCCCTACTTCAAACCAGGGGGATGCAGCCCCCCCCCCCCCCATCCCCCCCCCCCGGGATTTACGCCCCTGCTTTAGACCGACTTACTTCTCGAGCTGTTCTTTTATATTTCGTTTTCTACTTGAGCTTCGTTTGCAATCTTCATTAGTCTTTAAAGATTTGTGACTATTTTACAAAGAAATTTGTTGACAATGAGATGATGGCCACAACGATCTTTTGACCATTTAACTGAATGGAAGTAAACGAATTAAAATCCGTTGAAAAAAAATACAGGTAAAGTTTAATAGATCAACATATAATGACGAACAAAATGCGTCTCTAGAAAGAAAAGTTATTGTTCAATTTCACCCTACTTCAAGATGAAATCAAATACTTCTTCATCTGAATTAATTTGCCAACCGTAATCTTTTCAGGGATGACAAATTTTGTACGGTGATATCTTCCAAAATGGAATTATCGATGTCTATTGTCTATAGAGAAACCTTAAAGACTCCGCTCCGACAGTCGAGGTTTCAAAGAGGATTCTATTTCTAAGCATATTGTATCAAAATTAGTGCATGTTTTTAGCATCCTCTGTGCTTTTATCTGTTATCTTAAATGATTTAGAAGGTCATTCTACCGATGAAAACATTTTAATGAATCACTGCGACGCAACGCGAACTATTATGTCGAGGTTTAATCCATTAGGATTGTTTCACATCAAGAGAATACTCTTTACAAGACTTTTGCTCGGGTGGTAATGTTATCAATAAAAAAAAACGTTGAATTAAAAAATAATAAAAAATAAAAAAATTCATCACCACTGCATTTCTCAATTCACCGCACCCTCGTTCTCGTACAAAATCTCTCTCTCTCTCTCTCTCTCTCTCTCTCTCTCTCTCTCTCTCTCTCTCTCTTTCTCTTATTTCTCTCACTCTCTCTCTCTCTCTCTCTCTCCCTCTCTTCCTCTCATCTCTCTCTTTCTCTCCCTTTCTTCATTCTCTGTTCTCCTTTGTCCTTTTTTCCCAACCTTTCAGATGTGAATGTTTAAACTACCATAATATTTATATATTTAAATAGCTGTTATCGGCAGTGTTTTAGAGATACCATGTCCCTTTTGCAGCCAACATCAAATTATGTAGAACTTTGCAGGAATTATGAATATGTCATGTATGTCCTTTTTGTGAAATTTAAACGTTAGCAGTGTCCTAATATTTAAAGTTTGCAAGGAAACCCGTTTACTTGCTAGACTGCACTGTCACACACTATTGAGTGACTGACTGGCCTTTTTCATCTTTGATAATAACATATAAACTGAGCTGTAAAGGGTACATGAGCATTTGTCTACATCAATATCCCGCCAAAATTAAACTGATTAAATCTTTGCGCAGCATAAAACGTACGACCATTCCGTACAATGGTCTGAAAAATCAGACTATTACTTAACGGCTCTATAGCTCCTAAGTCGATTCGAAAACTTATAGTCGTTATTTTCCCAATTACAGACATTTTCAAGCCCCCCTTTTTTAGGGAAGTTCTAAATTAGTATTGTCTTTCATATGCCGTTGGAATTTAACCTTTTTTTTTTGGCCTGTAAATGGGACACAGTATCTTTAAACCATTCTGTGATCTTTCTTTCTGTAATACTGTCGCTAACAATTAAAAACTCACATTTAAAAACTAAATAGAGTATACAGGGGCTTGCTTGAAAAGGATGTGTAATCTACAGCCCCCCCCCCCTCACCCTTTATCGCTAAAGGTTAAATTAATATCTTATATTTTCAACTGGTAAATTTTCAAAAAGTTATGTCTTTTTATGCTAGCTTGGACATCATATTACAATAATCCATTTTGCCCTTCAAGTTAGAATTAGTAACTTATTGCCTTCTTCTGCAATACTCTCAACTTATCAAGATATGACTTAAAAGTGTTTACTCAAGCAACATTACAATATATCAAATAAGGAAAAATAATACTATTATATAATGTTATCAGCACTTTTCAAGGTAAAATAAATTTTAATCTAAAAATGACACCTACACTCCAGGATAACCGGCTTTGAGCATACATCATCTAAATGATTCTTCCAAGATAAATGCTCATCCATAGTTAACCCCAAGAACTGAACATTTTCACAAAGCGCGACATCATGGCCTCCAACATTAAGAAAAGTAATACCATATGGAAGCTTTTTCCCTTTGGGCGAAAAATAACACAATTTTGGTCTTTTGAACATTCAACAATAACTTATTACAACGATACCATGCATACAGTTTCTGAATCTCTTGATTTGCAATTAGTAATAGATCTTCAGCATTCTTGTCGACCAGCAGCAAGCTGGTATCATCAGCAACAAGTGAGAATGATGTGGATGAGTGCATTATATGATTGTTATAGATTTTTTTTTAAAACAGCAAGTTTTCCTACGAAATTTCGACCCCCCCCCCTTTCCCCCTTTGTCATAACTATTCTATATGTTATTCATGTATATACATGTATGGGTAATGATAAAAAGAGGATATTACTTTGTTGGATAATAAACATTGTGTTAGTGAAGGCCGGAGCACACGCACTCAATGGTGGTTTAAAGGGGTGGTCTATAGGGGCACTTCCCCCTTCCCCTACAAAACTCGTTGCAGCATACCTTTGCGTACACAATTTGGTACGGAAAAGAAAGGCGTCCCCTTATTGTGCCATGCTTTCGCTAATTTAGACCAAAAAAGGCCCCTGAAAATGTGATCACCTTGTTTTGATTATTACTATTATCATCATTGCTGTTATTTACCAATTTATCTATTCATTAAATCATTCATTCACTCATTCATCTATTTTGCTTGCCGGGGAAATTTCAAGATAATTAGCGTCCCCGAACTGTGGTAACATATTCTGTCTTCCGCTCTTTCTTATTTTATGTTATTCTTATTATTGTTTTGTGTTCTTTTCCTTTCTGTCAAACAATGAAAGGGATTTTATTTTTTTAAATCATATATCCTTGTAGTATTAAACTTTAATTTACAGTTATTACTCCAATTTATAGACATATATAATTGTGAGAGCTTACCAGGTCTTTACTGATTTAGCGTTGTAAAAACTGTAAGGTAGAGATTGGTTATCGTATTGCACACAGTATGTGACATCCAGGAGTATTGTAGTTGTCAGTCAGAGAATCTGGACTTAAACGCCTTCCCACATAGCCTATAACAACTCAGATAGTCAGATTACATGCCTGATATAAGCTGAAACCAGAGTAATTGGCAGACTTGTTTGAATTCGCTATAGCTGATTTATATAATGAAAATCATCATATTATTCGTTGTCTCGGTTTCGGGAATATCGAAAATATTTAAAAATAACCATAGGCCTATTGCCCTCCTCTTACGACTTTAAGCAACATGATTTGGTTGCAGGCAATATATTATATTCTAAAATCCCCTCTCGATCAATGTCATCCAACAAGTAAATAGGCTGATACAATATATTTAATTTGCCGAGCCAATAAAAATATCAATCATCAACATATCAATCAAATGAATCTTTAAAAATTGAATGGTACTCACAATATTTTGGCTTGCCTATGCAAAAATGCATTTTTGATTCTTTTCCCTTACCAATATAAAAACCAAGCATTTTTGTTAAAATTGCTGTGAGGTTTTACTAGAGCAATACAGAGTCCCCCTCCCCGTAGTTTTTCTTAAGTTTAGAATGCAAGTTGTCCCACTAGATTAGTGGAACCATTGCCCCAATATTTAAGAAAGCCTTTTGGAACCTAGGATGAATTACGATAAAGATTATCTAAATTTATTTAACTTGATTTTTACACTTGGAATAATCGTACATGGCTTGCACGCCAAAACGTTATCTTTATGCTTAAGAGTTCGTTTATATGCTGCCTTGTGTATTTTGAAGAATAATTGTCATTGAACTGTCTGAACATATCAATGCCAAACGTGCCCGTGCATTTAACGTGTACAACCTGTTGGCGGGCTGATGAATATTACTAAGTCAGAATTAGTCAGGAGAGCTGAGGTATTTGTTTTCAGTTCATCGTGACTCTGATGCCATAGGCCATAGCATGGTGGTAGAGTCACTGCCCGGCAAGCAGTAGATGGCATGTTCAATTCCGATGCTGGTTCTGATATTTGTTCTGACTTGTTTTCAATTACAAGATAGAGCACGCAACCTTTATTTACTGGGTGCATATGCAACAACAACACAAATTCTTTACAATTATTGAAATCACTCCCAGAAAACCTATCATCAAGAACATTAATTTTCAGTTTCCCCATGTGAGTAGTCCTGAAAAGGACTGTTGGGTTTGGTGGGAGATTGACTTGATACATGTCATTGATTGACTCGATACAATCACTCCTAGAATGCATGAAGTCTAACTTCAGAAAATGGGATGGATACATTTGGGAAAAAACTAGACAAAGAAATTAAGAGAGGCCGTGAGTGGAATCCTGAAAAGAATTGGTTAACCAGGTATATTTATAGGTTTTGTATACAGTATGAAGAAGTAAAAGTAAAAGTAATATTCATTTTCAGGGTTCAGTTTTTTTTAAAAGCTTTTTTGCCTTTATTCAGATTTTCATATACAAAATGATAAAGAGGAACATAATTGTTCGTACAGTATAAACATAGTACTTTGTCTCATACATTACAAACACAGACAAGTTAATATAGTACATATTCAATCAACTTTACAAATTGTGATATAATTCTGTGATTTGGGAGAAGAAACAAAATTAGATTTTTCAATATAAAAAGGAAAAGGTGACGGTAATACTTCATTTTAATATTATCGGCTACAACATTATAAAACGGAACAAACTTAACAGTATATACATATCTTCTATAAAAAAAAATTGAATAGTTCAATATAAATTAAGCAATCTGAATAATGATTTTGCCTAGCGCCAGAGCTAGCGCCATCTGCGTTAACTATTCATTGCAGACGACTATTATCATCAGTTGAACTGAAAATACCAGTGTCTTTTCTTCTTTCTAAGCTAAAGGATTCAAGTTCAATGGCCGCTTCAATGGTAAGAGACCCTAATATTCAATATGTTCAAAGTATTACCCTCTCGTACATATTTATCTTTTACGATTTTGTACTCGAACCGGCAGTCGAACTGAGTGAATGTAAAACATAGTACATTATGGTCCCACACGTAGTAATTTGTGTGTATAATTCATGATGCAGATGCGTGTCCGTGAATGAGCTAAGTAATTAAAGTAAGTCGAGTCAATCGTTATTTTAAGCTGAAGAAATCACAAAACATTCCAAATTATTGTACGATGTTTATATAGATACCTTAACATCGAAATATTATTTAGTGAAAGAGATTCGGCTGAGGATGAGTCTCTTAAAACTGTTGTAGAGTCTAGTTTATGTTTGACTTGTCACTTGTGACTTAACTTGTTTTTACTTTTAAAGTTTGCTGACATCCATTCTTGGATTCTTTTCCTCCTAAATACTCCGAAGAAGAGTTTTGACTCTATCTCGTCTTTGTTCAACAAAATTTGTAACTTTCGGGTAATAATCTAGATGCTCTTATGGCTGTAGATCTGATGACAGAAATTTTTCATGACAAACCAACAGAAATCACTTTATGATATGACAATCAATTTACGTGGCAGTAATACGTGGCGATCTGGGCATCGTTTCACAAAACCTTTAAGTACAAGTTCACCAACAACCTATTGAAACCATACTGTTTATGTTTAGACTTCATGCCTTGTAGGAGTTATTACTGCTATTGAAATGCTTGTTAAATTGAATAGACTCTATGCAATAGGTTTTCAACTAATTTATCTTATGATAGTTTCGTAAATTAAAAAGCTGTATTGCTGCCATTATAATGTTTCTTATTCTGTAAACTGTTTTGTGAAATTAAAACTCTCTCTCCTCTTTTTCAACAGCCTATCCTTCACTCATACTTCAGGAGTACCTGTTCATGGCGCGTTCGGACTAGTGAGTATTAAGAACTTAATTCTTGAAAGGGAACCCATCTCATGCAAGTTGGCAATCCATATAGCTGTAGAATACCTTGAATACCTTGAATACCAAAGCTTCTGGAAGAAAGCCGTCTCCAGCTGCCAAGCTTCCAGGTCTAACTTCAAGGGGGGGGGGGGGGGTTTGGGGATGTCCCAGCTTCCGGGTCTTACACCATAGTCGTTTTACATCTATATCTTGCTTGCTGGGTCATATCAGAAATGTCATAATTGGAGTGTCTACTGGAAGAAGGGTGAATTATATTGCTCCTTCTTCCAGTATTTGTCAAGTCTTGCTTTAAAGCTGTTTTTTTTATTATGAATATGTAATGAATTTCCATTTCCCGGTTGTTGTTTACACACAAAAAAAGAGTCCTATTTTTTAGAAGGGTAATTTAAATATAGTGATACATATGTCCAATAGTAAATCTAGGACAAATATGAATAAGAGCATATTTTCATAGCATAGGAAAAAGAAAAAAATTGTGTTACTTTTAGTACACTCAAGTTTGAGAGGTACTGGTACTCATAAGATTCTTCCCAGAGTTGTCAATATACCTTAATTGCCTTTGGTCAATTAAGGCTTTGAAAGTGCATAACTTTCTTAATTTTATTAACATTTTGTCACATATACAATGATTCATCTGTTTCTCAAATTCCCTTGCTTTTAGTTCAGGGTTGAATTCTTATTATTATTATCATTTTGATCTGCATGTTTTTGTTTCCTTTCTAGCTCTTGCCCTGAAAGGAATTGATTACGAATATAAAGGTGTGAACCTTCTGAAGGGAGAACAGGTAATTTCAAAATATTATACTAATCTAGCATGCTAGCCTGGCTCTTAGGCTAAGTGAGCCTTTCCTTTAGGTTCTCATTAAAAAAAAAAGTTTGGTTGACCCTGGAATTCATCAGCCACCCATGCCATGATGGAGAACCTGAAATGACTTGATTGGCATATACTTAATGTCTAATTCCCAGAGATATTTTCAATTAGAAGGTATAGGTAGGGGTTCCTTTAGCCTGGTAGTTAGATCAATGCTTACATTGAGTTCTGCTAATTTCAAGACTGGCTGTACAAAGACCTTCTGAATAATGTATCATGCAGTAGATGGGTTGCTTGGACTTGCAAAATGTAAAGAAATTAACAAAATCTGGCTGGATTTACATTCACTTAATAGCACAACTCTATGATGCATAAGTGCCCCTAGCCCTCCCCCTCCCCCCACAATCCAACACTGACTGTATACTATTTCAATAACACAATGGCAATTGTCCACATGCCCATGAGCATGATTGGGACTTATCTTGTTTATTATACAATGGGTGTCAAAAACCACACTCATTGGAAATATCCCCCAAACTGAAATTTCACAAAATGTGAATAATTTTTGTTGTTGGTATGCCTTTGCCCACTGAACATGGTGCCGGATGCATTGTGTGTTTGGGTCACCCGTCCGTCTTTCTGCTTTCTTGCTAACACGATATCTCAAGAACCACTTAAGATATGTTTTCAACTTTTCATTGTGATATGTCACAAATAATAGGGCGGAGGCATATAGGAGACGCAGTCACATTTGTCTTGTTTTTTATAAAAGTATTCGTTAGGGTTTAATCAATTGGATGACACTATGGATATTGACAATATTTTATGCATACGTGAAAGTGAGTATTGGCTACTTTTGAATGTACTGTAGCATTTTCTCCTTGATTTTTTAAAACCAGTTTTGGAAGATTTATCTTTCAATTTCTGTTGTGATATTGTAAAGATTTATTTCCTTTTTATTGTTTTTCTCTTGTCCAGCTGTCTGATGCCTACCTCACTGTTAATCCAATGGGACAGGTCCCTGCCCTAGAGATTGATGGTCTATTGATGACGCAGTCAGTAAGTTCAGCATATACAACAGCTTGTTTGTTGTTTTTATATCGCCTGGGAATCCCCTGGTAAACAAACCAGAAATGTTGCTTTTCAGATGGTGGCATCATCATTAAAGTACTATGCTTTTGTAGTAATTGAGAACCTACCAAGCCAAATAATCTGCTACTGCATTAGAACGTGGTTGAGGTCTTTATGATTCATACCCTAGATTTTGATCTTACCTAGACCATAGATAACTAGCTTAATATTGCCTGTGTCAGCTTCCCAAGTGCTATGGTTTTTTCTTTCTATATATTATTATGCCTATTACATTTTATGCTAGGAGAAACCCTCATTCGATAATTCAAATGGCTGTAGATGGAATTCTGATAAAACATTTAAAGGGCAACAACCACTCAAATATTCTTTCTCTGTATGTTTGGGGTTTCATGCCTAATCACATGTTCAAATATCAACGTTAACTTCTCTAAAAAGATATTGCAATTATGAATACTGGAATTTCACCCTCAGTGAAGAATGAAGTTGACCCCCCACCCCCTTTTTTTCCTAGAGGTTAAATTTATGTACTGTGCAGTTGATGACATTTCCATATAGCATGTTGATAAGCAAATATGAGAGTATTCATACCATATTATTTCAAATGCTTTTATTTATTTGTCTTTTATCTCTATATCTATATTTATAGCTTCCAATCATAGAATACCTAGATGAGACCATACCTAATTGCAGCCTCTTTCCAAAGGACCCAATCAAGAGATACATGGTACATTCAAGATTTACTTTCCATTGTACAATCATTGTCTCATTAGTAATTTCAGGATGTACAGGAGAGATAGTAGTTCTGACCTGACAAACTGCTTGCAATAGAACAAATCTTAAATAGAAAACAATCACTATGGACCAGAAGATTTGGCTAAGTTTCACTAGAATAAATAACAAATAATCATTGTTTTATGGCTGTTCATTTTACAGTGTTGGTAGTTGATTAAGATAACAAAAATTTATTTAAGGTGGTTAGGTACAATTGTTGATGACATTTGCATTAATTGTATGAGGATATGATATAAAAGGTTAGAGTATAAATATTGTTTAAATGAGCAAGCAATCGTCTACATCAGTATGAATCATTTCATTTATTCATTTCATTCTCCATAAAAAACATTAAAACATACAAACATGATATACAGATAAAAGATTGATATATGAGACAGATATTTCAGAGATATGCATATATTGCTTTTGTTTCATTGATAGGTACCCCTGAATCAATTGTGGTTTGTATGTTGTTGTTTTTTTTTTTAATCTCTTTCAGTGCAACTATTGTAACATAGCGATTTGTTTTTCAGTTTGCCTCAATGAGCTGTGTACAATTACATACATACATTCATTATCTTCTCTAGTATATGACTTGATTTTAAATGTTTATACCAGTAATTGAATTAATTTATTATTTCTATTCTTTCTACTTCAATATTCATTTTGCAATCTCCAGGCACGTCAGGTAGCAGAGACCATCAATGCAGGGATCCAACCAGTACAGGTGAATAAAATAACTGATCGTCTCGGTCGTAAATCCACTCATCAGTTCTCAGTAAAAATGAATTGATTTGTAATGAATTACCTATATATTCATTGAATAGGTGAATGGATAGATACTGATAGGGGTAAATAGATTGATAGATAGGGATAGATACATGCATTCGTAAATAGAAAGATAGAAAGAGAGTGAGATGGCTTAAAAATATAAGTAGATAGATAATAAATAAATAGATGATAGATAGACAGATAGATAGATGGATTGATAGATAGATAAATAGATAGATAGATATGTAGATAGATTAGTTAAAAGAGATATGATGAAAAGGGAATTGGCCGTGCTCCTCTCTCTGCCTGAGTCATTAGAAAATCAAGATGAGAGGTCCAGGTGGAATAAATGGGTACTCAGTAGGATTTGTTTTTAAATTGCTTGAATTGAGCACCTTTAAAGCTTGGCTAATACAATGGTAAAACAGTGAATAATTGTTTCAGTTCCACTGTATTAGATCCATGCTGATTTTATGAGATGGATGATTATGAAGCAAATCAAAGGAGTGCCTTTGATGCTTGCTATGGGATAATAAGGGGTGCATGCGCACATGCCCACCCAACTCCAATGCTAGAATCCTCTAGTCCAGTTTACATGTGGATGTATGTATTTAAGTTCTGTAAGCCAATTTATTGCTTTTTCATATTATGTTTGTATTGTTATTGTCGCCTTGTAAGTACATTATATGAAATGTAAAATACGAAAATAACCCGAACTGAAATGGCTTCTGACTTTTTCAATTCAACTTTTTTGCAGAATCTTAGCATGTGCAAGTTTGTTGGGGCCGAGCGGAAGATGGAGCTAGGAAACACATTCATCACCAAAGGCTTTGTGGCTCTCGAGAAGACCCTGGCGAGTACTTCGGGCAAGTACTGCATCGGGGATGAAGTCACCGTAGCTGATGTCTTCCTTGTACCTCAAGTATACAATGCTAATAGGTTGGTAGAATTCCTAATTGCAACCTATGTATGAGGTTGTTATTCTATTGAAAAACCTCTCCCTCTTTCTCTTGGATGCTAAATTAATGCGAGTGCATCTTGTGTTGTGTTAACAGGTTGTTTTGACTGTCATTTAGAGACAATTTCTCCATTTAAACACAATATTTCTTGACAGAAAATTACTTTTAAAGGGGATCAGTCAACTTATAAAAATGTGTGCGGGCAAGTATTGATTCCAACGACCGGGGTAATAGTATATCTGTAAAGCACTTAAAAACATTGTAGATGTATTAGGCGCTATATAAAAGTGGAATATTGTTATTAATAGCTAGTATGTGTTGAAATCAATGGCACAAAGCTTTACCCAGCATCCTGTGGGTTACCTTGAAAGAAAGTATATATAAACTTTAAAAAGGAACTCCCTCGCTGAGAACCCATGTCTTTGGTTTCATGAGCACCCTTTTCTGTGCTAGTTAGAGAAGGTTGCACACGTGCAGCAGGATTGATGTTGTCGTTCATTTTGTTTATGCTCCAACCATGGATTCAATAAATAGGGGGGGGGGGGGGGGTCAAACTCTTTTGGTTTTACTTTTTATTATAATACATGTTCTAGCTGCATACTCATTAGTTTTTTTAGTTGATTGGACCGGTTTTAAACCAAGTGTTTTTAGTTTAGCATGGATCCCCTCAACATTTGTATGCCTCCGTTATGAAGTAGCCGGAAGCATTATGTTTTCGCGTTGTCCGTCCATACGTCCCGTTCTCGTGATCGCGTTTTCTGAAAAAACGATTGATGGATTCCTGCCAAACTTATATCATGTATGTATCTTGCAGAGCCGATGAATTGATTAGATTTTGGGGTCATGAGGTCAAAGGTCACAGGGCTCATCATGTATGCAAAAACAGCTCGTAATCGCGTTACCTCAAGAACCGATTGATGGATTCCTGCCAGACTTATATCATGTCTGTATCTTGCAGAGCCAATGAACTGATGAGACTTTAGGGTCACGAGGTCAAAAGTCACAGGACTCATTATGTATGCAAAAAGCGCTTATGATCGCATTATCATTATAGCAGATTTTTGGATTCCTGCCAAACTTATATCATGTCTGTATCATGCAGAACCAATGAACTGATGAGATTTTAGGGTCACAAGGTCAAAAGTCACAGGACTCATTATGTATGCAAAAATCGCTTATGATCGCATTATCATTATAGCAGATTGTTGGATTCCTGCCAAACTTAGGTCATGTATGTATCTTGCAGAGCCAATGAACTGATAAGATTTTAGGGTCATGAGGTCAAAGATCAAAGGGTCTTACATGTATATGAAAAAAGCTTGTAATCACAATATTCTGAGAACCTGTAAATGGTTTACAATCGAAGTTGAATTCTAAAAATTGCTTCTTTTTTGGTTGGTTATATCGCGCTACTGTGGAGGCATCATGCTTGACTGCGCGCAGTCGAAGGTCTATCTATTTTTTTTTAAATCATGAATTGAAAGAAGAAAAGAAAAAACAGACAAACAAATAAACAAAGCATAACAATTATTTGGTCACTGGTCCCCTTTAGGGGGGGAGTTATTAGTAATTATAGTTGTACTGTGCATGTGCGATCTTACTATCCCATATACAAGCAGTCAGAGTGAAATGTCAAGTTGAGTTTGGGTAATGAAAAATATATTGGAAGGAAACTTGATAAATAAATTGTTATTTTGTTTAATATCAAAAGGGGATTTGTAAAGAGATGTTGCATCATATCTAGATTTTGTGTGAATTTCTAATGGTACCGGTATATAAGCTCTTTGTATGATATCAAAATGGTAAACACTGTTCTTCATCTAATGTTTTTTACCTTACCAATAACCAACCTTCTTTCAAACTGTCTATTTTTGAAATAGAATATATCATAAATCTTTAGTATATCTGGTTAAGTATTCAGAAATACCTTCATTTTCAAAAAGCTTCCAATTGTTTCTTTTGGGGGTTTTGTTTTCAGTTAAAAAAAAATCTCTCTGGTTTTCTCCTACAGGTTTAAGGTCGACATGTCGGCTTTTCCAGTCATCTCAAAGATCAATGATGTACTGGGTGAACTGGATGCCTTCAAGGCCAGCCATCCTTCCAAACAGCCGGACTGTCCAGAAGACCTCAGACAATGAAGGTCTCTAGATCACTGTAGATAGAACTGTAAAGGCTTGTTCACATATGATGCCGTATACGACCTATAAAATGTTCTGCCAAAGTAAAACGACTTAGTTGTGATGCCCGTCACGTTTTACGGTTTTTGTATCTCATAATACACAGAAAAGTAATGTAAAGGGCAGCTGCTTTTTCACCTTCAGTCGCCTTGGAAGGCATTTCCAATCATGTACTTTTGAAATGTTGTTTTGGCGGTTTATTGCAACATGTGTGAACAAGGCCTACAGGGATCTCGGGACAATGCAGGGTTAGGGTTTAATAGACCAGTTCATGGTTAGCACATGTCCCAAATGACACCGAATATCCACAAATTATCAAAACATGAAGAGGTCCCGCTTTGTACATTTAAAGATAATCACTCCTACAGCGATGGAGGTGCTACATAAATAGCCTTCGTTTCCCCTTTTCAAAAAATAATGCCACCTGTGTATCATGGAGTACACTGCTTGTGCATAAATGAATAATGATTACATTACTTTCATGAGCACATATCCATTATTTTGTTTCAGGGTATTTCACAATTTGATCTGCAATGACCTTTTTTTGCTCATGCTCAGACTGCAACTATGAACTGGTTTATAGGGTTGTGGGTTAGTTTTGAGGTTATGGTTAAGTATAGTGTTCAATCTGAGGATCATGTTTAACAGTTCGATTATATCAAGATGACTCTAGAGCATTAGTTGCAAGGTCAAGTGTTTCACAGTCTTTGGCTACAGCATGTTTTGTGGTCATTACTTTTTGCCCTTGTTGGTACGCTATCCATCGCAGAGCAGTAGTTCCTAATGTCATGTTCTGTCTAGAATAGCTACCCGTTGTCGGATTACCTCAAAAGTAGAAACATGAATGAGAATACCTCGTAGGACTGATCAATTTATTAAAGTTCAAGTTGATTTGATTTCAGTTTTACCACCAACAATAATCTCAGGATGACTTAAATTATTCTTTTTCATGTTAAAAATGTAGAAAATCATGTTTTTCTTCAAACCTGAATAATACCAAATTCTGCTTGAAGTCTTCCTTGGTTGGCAAATATATCAGATTTGGACATAAATGGATGAGTATTCAAAAGAAGCAATAGGCAATCCATATTCAGGCAAATGCTGTTTACATGTGATAACAATGTTTTTAGATAATACTTGCTGATTGTGTAAATATGGTATCATGAATTAATTAAAAAGGAAAAAAACAATCAACCTCTAGTGACATTGAAACACAAAGGCCAATACAATACCTGTACCGGCTATAATGTGCTGCATGAGAAATATCCCTTATGTAGAGTATAATTAAGTGTGCTAGTTGCTGAATCTCAAAATGGCCAAGACATACTCAGAGAGCTTGAGGAGCACTGTAAAGGGCTTTACAAATACTGAAGTAGAGTTGAAGTATTCATTAAAAAAGTGATGATAATCTGGCAGTATTGCATAAATAAAATTTTCTAAAAATAATTAGTGCCATGCAGTAGGTTTTCTGCATACTAATAAGTCAATTTTCTTTTATTTCAGAACTATAGTTGTCAAATCTTTGTATGTGTTCTTTTCTTGTAGTTATTCTTCTTGTGACTTTTCAGATATGAATTCTCTTCTTTTGAAATTTCTATGGTACATTAAGGATGTACCATTAATAAATATATTGTACAATGTCATATTTCATAAAAATATTGATTAAATCATGTCTGGAATAAAGCTTGATCTCTGGCATTTTTTTCTCTGTGAAAGATGAATCGGAATATTGACACAAGTTGATTTTGTATGTGTTCAACCTACCATAAGTTTTGTTTCTCCTTGTTTTAACTTATTTTTCAAACTTTTTTTTACCTGCCCCCTCCCCTATAGAATGGAGATTCATGTACAAGTAATATTAAAGGTAGGTACTACTCAGTAACACAGTACCATAAAGTGTTTGTTGAGATTATGGATTCATGATGTACAGTGAAACCTGTCTATAAAGACCACCGAGGGAGACAAGAAAAGCGGTCTTTATAGGCAGGTGATCTTTATGTACAGCTACAGAAAGCTTTAATTAATAGCAAAAAAAAAGAGAGAGAGGGTGATGAGAGGATTGTGGAAGGATTATGAAACGAGGGCTTTCCTGTTCAGTAGCATTGTTCATTCTGATGTCATTCACAAACTTATACCAGTAACCTCTCATCATGAGAGCCCCCTTGGGGACTAACCTAAATTTCACCATCAAAGACTAATTTTGGACTTCAGTTATCTCCATCTTATCTACCATTGTCATTTGTCATATTTGTATACTGATCTCACTTTCACCCATCTTTTTTGTTGTCCATTTGTTGTTGCTGTCCATTCCGGGAGATCGGTATGTTATTGTCATACCCCTATCCCATATAAATTTTCTGAAATTAGAAAATGTTACTTTTTCATAGGAGGTTGTTTGCTAGAAGTGTTAACCTCATTTGGAAAATTTAAAAACCTAAGGATCGTTCCCCCTTTCCCTTTTCACAATATTCTGCATTAGCCCTGTTGGTGAAACATCTCTGTAGTCTGTTCCTATATGTGTGTTTCTTAGTTTCCCTCATTTTATACTTTATTTATTTATTACCTAGTCTTATTTTAGTAGGGTGGCTCCATCAATAGTTCAATGCTGTTTTCTGTGGAGGCCCTTTGAATCAAGAATTCAAATGTATTGTCAGTTTTTCTCTCATTTAACAAGTCTGTGAACATTGTGTTCATATTATTTATATACCCACATTCATCATTCACTGGTTATCCTGATATTTAAGAAGAACAGAGGGTCTGCATTTTTTGATATAATTTATTTTCCAATGCGAAAGTGAATATCGTGAGAGCAAAGGCAACTGAAAGCTCTCAAATGCAAAAGAATTGAACACATACACCGTGTTCAAAGACAAAGAACCTGAACAAAACATAACATTACATGTTTGAGTTGCAAGTCTCCAAACTTTAGAAGTACATGTATCAATCTAACACATAAATTTACTAATGTAATAACTTGCTTCTCCATTTCCAAAATGAAAATAAACAAAAAACATTGTTGCACTTAGTGATTTCCAACTTCTTCATTATATACCAGAAGACAACTTGTCTTCATGCACAGTACTGATCTAAGAAAAGAATAAATAATGCACATAGATAAGTGAACAACTTCAAAGTCTATGAAATACAAAATAAAACATTATGTTATGTTTTTAAACTGTAAAAACTCAAAAGCCTTTTTTGTGAAAACAAAAAGGGCATCAAAAAGGGCATCAAAAAGGCATAAGAGGACTGCCTTACATAACAATAATTTAAAATACAATGGGAAAATGATAACATGACCTTTTACCGGTGAAAATGAAACGAGTTAATCCCAGCATGAACGTCATAAACATAGTACGATACATATTCATTTTCAAGTCTGAACAATGTGATACTCATTTCAGTATAACTTGAGAATTATATTGAGTAAATGCTCTTTGCACTGTTCGTGAAACAAGATAAAATTTGAAATTTGCCATCCTTTTCTATGGCAAGTGAAAGGAGATAAAACAGAAGTCGATGAAACACAAAATAAAGACTTCATGGAACATAAACCTAACTAATAACACTTGATATGTTGTGTTAGCTTGTGATCAGTCTGCCATTCGGAAAATCATTTTTACTGGTAGTACTTTTAAAATCCAATAATTGCAGACACCTAATTCTTCAAAACTGAAATTCTCAGTTTGGCCAAGCAGCTATAAGTGGTCGTCTAAGTCGAATTTTCTGGAACTTTCTATGGCATTCTATCTACGTATAGATCAATTGCAATTTGAAAACTATGTTGTTACAGTTATGCAGATCTGTGAAAATTGTAATAATTCAACTGTAAACAATTTTGCTTCTTGAAATACATTTTCTTTATGCAATTTTCGAGGCAAGTACTTAACTTTTTCAATCAATTTCAAAACAGGAGTATAGGAATGAATATGAATTACATGTGCAATAGAAATGTACAAAATTTACTTTGGTTTCCAAGCATTTTGACTGAAACCATCTCGAAGAAAAAAAAGGAATAGTTCACTCCAATCCAAATAATGCATTCAGGTGAATGAGATGAGTCACAAATTGAATTGAATGGCTAAAATTTGGTAATTTAAAGATATTTTTTTGAACTCTCATCTCTCAAAGAAACAGTTGTCACTCTATACCACTTGCACTGAACCTCAGATAAAGTGTTATTTAATGATTTATAACTGGAGTTATGGTTGGAGAATATCCATGAAATTTGTATGACATTTGTATCATATTGAGGACTGTGACAAGTTTGATATTATCATACCCAGTCGCGTAATGAGCAAAAACGTTTGGGGAGGGGGAGGGGGGCCGAAAAAAATCTGCATCACTACCATTCTTACATGTTACATGCAGGCCCCTCAGAACGTTTTTCAAAGTGGAGGGGGGCTAAAGTATTAAGTAAAGGGAAGCAAGTGGATTGAAAATTTTGCGTGGGGTCAAGGGACGGAGCCCCTGGAAGCTCAGGGGTTTTAGGCATTTAATTACGGTCAGATGAGCATCAAGGGGCCCGCCTCGGGGCTCTTAGTAGGGTCCAGAGCCCCTGGAAGCTAAGGGTTTCAGGCATTTGATTACGTCAGATGAGCATCCAGGGGTCCGCCCTAGGGCCCCTGGTGGTAGTCCAGTGGGCGGAGCCCCGCAAGCTCAGGGTATTAGAGCATTTAACTATGGTCAGATGAGTTAATTTTGAAAACTCTTTTGTGACACTGGCAGGTCACTGTTCTTTCTATTTCTCTATAAAATACTTCAACATATTCTTTAACAAAAAAATTTGGGGGAGGGGCTCGAGCTCCACCGTTCCGCAGGCCCTGATATGTAGGCTTCTGAATCAGCATATTTTTTGCCTGACTGTAAATTTTGGAATTTGTCATTTTCCAGCAAACGCTTCAAAAAATAATAATTTACACAAAAAGAGAGAAAAAATCCCAGAAAAATCATGGCATTTCAGCAATATTTGTAAATCACTGGTATCGAATTATAAATAAACCTTGTTTGAATTTTAAAATTAGTCTAAGCCCTGAGTCGGGGTCCCTGGATGCCCATCAGTATGCCAGTGATCATACCTGTGTTTTTATTTCCAGCAAAACTAATGTTTTAAAGACAGATTGTAGGAGTATTATGTGAACAGTCATATACAAAAAGCATAAATGCATTAGAAATATGATTGTATGCTCTTTGATGAATTTCCTTTTATAAAGCAATTTCAACTTCTTTTGTTAAAAACCTTTGACGCCCGGGCATAGCAATTACAATTCTTATGAATATACGCATATTAAAGTAATACATCAATAAAAATGAATGTATATTTGGGTTTGAGTTAACTTGGTAAAGGCTTGTCTTGTAGCAGTTCATATTCTCATGTTTTATTGTTATATTAGCAATGTAAAGAAAATTAAAAAAGAGCAAGCATATTTTCTGTTTATGCATCATGTAATAAAACATCACAGCGTGATTCTATTTGCTGCTCGTAATTAGTTCTCCGCATGAAAGTTCAGTGGGATGTATCCATGTCCATCAAATAAACATTTTTTTTAAATTAGAATTGGTCAGTAACTTCATCGCGTTTCGCAGTGTCAACATGGTGCGACCAGTACTCTTTCTGTTTCTCAGCGACTTGTTGGAATCTAACCAACATCCTCATCCTCGCTCTATGTTCAATCTCACTCATCTCCATCATCTTCCTCATCCTTTCCACCTTCGACTTCTCGAAGTCGAGCTGGGCCTGAAGCAACTCCATCTTCTTCGCGTGCTCCTCGTCGGCGCCCGCCTGCCTCTCTGCTTCGTCGACGTTGCATATCGCAGCGATCGCCGATGACTCTGCTGCGCCGTCTCCGTCGACAAGCACGATAGGAGATGCTGATGAGCTGCTGGGTCGACGGAGCTTGGCGTTGCTCTGATTGATGTAAACCCTGTCACGTGGTCGCTTGCTACTGCGCGAGGACGAGCTTATGGAATGTCGAGAAGATAGCGATTCTGCCGCATCGCCCATGGATGACGAGACTGATGGAGCCCTGGGGATGCGCTCTTGGCTCACATCACTGGCGGCTAATGGAGGAGTGTGAGTGTGTCTGTTCGATGAGGACGCTCCTCCTAACGATCCAATAGGCGAGGACAAGGATGTTGATCCGTTCCATATTTGGTTGTATGTTGATGCGTCACCGACCTCTGATCGCAGATGGATGTCTTCTCGATCACCTGCATGGACAAGTAGAATGAATGGAGAGATTCATGTAAACGGCATGGTGTGAAGGTCCACCACTTGCAATATTTTACAAACCAAACTTGACAAAGCGAATCCGTGCAGTGTGCACCACACCGTCCACACGACATGTATCTTTTATTGAATTATTTCATCCAGAAATTAGAAAAAACAACTCGACTATACATGATAATGCTATGAGAACGGGATTAGATTGAATGAATCATATCGAGAGATACCGTACATTTATGCCACAAATAAACAGAAATGGTAGAGGATTCCAAAACATAGTTACAAAAATGATTTTTAAAAACAACAGAAATCAAGCATCTTTTTTTTTTTTTTATGGATATGTGACTGTGTATAAAAGATCACGATGTGTACACTGTATTGGTTGCGTCATTTTCATGACAGTCATCCCAACAATTTTATCTTATTCTCCGTCTCCCTTTACTTTCCTTCCCTCATCCTTCCCCCCTTAATGCACGCATACCCCCCCCCCCCTCCCGGGGGGGGGGGGGGTCACATATTAAGACATACGGGGATGTGCCGCTCTAATGGGTCGCTTTTTCACACAAAAATACCGAAACATTGGTCCCATTTTTTACAAAAATATCACTACACATGGGTCCGTTTTTCCAAAAATTTTAAAATGACAAAATGTTCGGGTGTTTGTTTGGCGAACACCCGAAAATTGTGAAAAATTGGCCTAGATATTTCGAGAAAAATCTGCCGAAATGACCCTTACAAATGGGTAGGGGTTTCGACTTTCGAGGCTACGAACGCTCCATGTACAGTCACCCCTGCCTACCACCCCCCCCCCCCTATTCCCCCCGTGTTTAACCACCATAACAATGGTCTGCTCTTACCACATTACTTTAAACTAATGCGATATGGTTCTAAAGTTTTAACACTGCCAGTATCATATTAAATCCCCCATTTAATCACCTACGAATTAATCAATGCTCTGCACTTGCCAAATTAGCGGGGGTTTTCCCCTACTACTGGTAGTTTACATGTGCCGTGAACGACATTTTTCACTTGCATAATTATTGTAGTCTTTGATTCAATTTGTAACATTCTTCGTAAAAAAAATCTTCCCGAGCATTATCACAATTAATACTAGGCCTACCATACATCTGCTCTAGAACTCGTGTAGAAAATGTAAACATAATGTAAAAGAGGCCTTATCGATGAATGTGTGAGCAATTAAATTAAGACAAAATATACGCAATGGGCCTACACCCGATTACATTGTTCAAATTCATTCTAGTCAGGAGGGATGTATCTAAAATAAGGAGGTCCATGCTAAAATTCATAATATGTCCTTTCATAACGATGTAAGTGCTCGCTATACATTATCGACTACGATCAATGTCACTTTCAGATGTTTGAACCACGAGTAATCGTCTCCCATGGCAACGAGACAGTGGACCAGTCTGGCTTAACAAGTGAACAATGACTGCATCACTTTGTAAAACCTTACAGTACGGATCGCAGCGGGGTAGTCCATGTGTATGCATGGACAGTATGGATGAATACTTTGTTCATTTACACCCAGAGGTGTAACAAGGCCTTTTTGAATGAGGTGTCACGAAACCAACCCGCCAGGGACGTAGAGTGAGTCTAGTCATTGAGGGGACGCTGACATGGGGCCTGGGCACCTGTCATACTCAGAAAATGAAATTGAGATTTATGCGGCTTCTGATTAGGGGGAATGCTCTGAAAGAGGTCTTCTTCTCTCGTCCTTTTCCCTTTTCTCTAATTTTTAATTATTTTTCCATAAATATCAATTTAGTTTGAGTTATCTGTGTATCCCCACTCCTCCCCCCCCCCCCCCCCCCACCACCACCGATTGAGACAACTGTCATGATCGTCACTATACGTGCACTGTCGTTAAAAAGTAAATGGAAAATCAGCGTGTCCAATCAATGTTTGATGAAGAGAAGGAAAAAACAGTTACTACCATACGCATAAAGGGGGAGTGAGCTGTTTAACTATAGCTGAGTGGTCATTGTTAAAACCCTCCACTCTATAGTTAGAGCCCACATTACGATTCACTTGTAAGAGCTACATCTTAAATGAAATGTGTATTAAGTTCAAGTCATAAGCATAAAGCCATTACAGGTCTCCCATTCTATCAACGTCATGATCAGGCTCATATATCCTTCTGCGCTGAAGTGTGCATGCCTTCCTTGGTATTCTACTCAGGAAGCACTCTAGTCTAATACAACCCGTTGTTATAAAGATGATTTAGCAGCGAAGAGGGAAATGAATTTCATATTTTTTGGTAGTGGTAGTAGAGATGTCCAATTCACCATGGTTGTTGACAGTCTCTAGCACAGGCGGATCCAGCCGGGGGCAGGGGAGGGGCCAAAGAGGGGGCCCAATTCGTGAGTAAAATTTAGCGGCGAAACAACCAGCCGGTGAATAAGCGGGAAGGAGGGGGGGGGAACACTTTTTTGCATTGCCCCCGAAAATCGCGCAGGCCGATATTTTGCAGGGGAGGGGGGGAGGGGGGTAGTGAGCAATATTTTGTTTGCTCCCCCCCCCCCTTGGGCACCAGGGGAGGGGGCGACTACTGGTCTCTATATGGTTTTCTTACACGAACCCCATTCTGTCATTGGGTCATTCCGTACTCTAAAGCCGATACCAACCATGCAAGTGTATTTGTTGTATAAGGTATATGGAAACTCGATATATTCATTTGTGACAATGGTCACCTTGATGGTCACGAAAACCACGAGGAAGTATGATTTGTTGGGAAAATACATACTGTCATTATGTTGGATAATTACTTTTAAAGGTACTATGTCCCTTTTGCAGCCAACCTCAAATGCTGTAGAACTTTGCAGGAATTATGAATATGTCATGTATGTCCTATCTGTGAAATTTAAACGTTAGCAGTGTCCTCATATGCAAATTATGCAAGGAAACTCTTTACTGTCAGACACTATTGAGTGACTGACTGGCTTTTTTCTTCTTTGGTAATAACATGCATGAAAAGAGTTGTAAAGGGTACATGAGCATTTGTCTACATCAATAACCCACTTCTTGTGATGGCCAAGATTAAACTGATTGAATCTTTGCGCAGCATAAAACGCATGACCATTCGGTACAATTGTCTGAAAATCAAGACTATTACTTTTGGGCTCTATAGCCCTAAATTCGATTTGACAACTAATTATATAGTCGTTATTTTCCCACTTCAAGACATTTTCAAGCCCCACCTTTTTTAAGTAAGTTCTAAATTAGTAAATCTTTCAAATGCAGTTGGAATTTAACTTTTTCATTTTTTGGACTGCAAATGGGACATGGTACCTTTAACGAGTATTTTCTGAGAGTGAATTTTCTGATGGTTAAGTCAGTAGTTGTACCCTGCCATGGGAAAGTTACATATTCCTCATAAATTGGTAAAGGGCACGAATCTTCTGTAGCTCGCTAAATTCTACAAAATCAGCACTCCAAATACTGATAGCTTGCATAGTTCACTTGAGCCTAGAGGACGGGTTAATTTCCATGTATTTATTTTTCAAAGGTATATTCATTTATTTATTTATTCATTTATTTGTTCATTTATTTTTCGTTAATTCATTTACTTACACATGTATTTGTTTTATTTATTCATTCATTCATGTGTTTAGTTATTTAATTTTAATTATTTACTTACTTAAATTCATTTATATTTTGTTTTATCTATGTATTTATTTACATACTTATTCATATATTTATGCATTGAATTGCATTCATTTAGTTAATTAGTTAGTTACCGTTGTGAGTTTAGGGAAATACACGGTTCTCTTCGGATCACCTCGCACAGCCTTGGCTGAAGTTTATATCCTTGCATATCCTTGCAACAGAGTCTGTGTATGCAGACTACCGTAGTATGTCTGGGTAATGTTCAACGATCGCGCACTGCACAATATCACGGTAAAAGAGCCTAAAGAGATGCAGGGCATCCATCCTTCACTTCCGAAGACACTTCGGACTCGCGCCAATTTATAGTGCATGCAGGAACTGCGTGGAAACTCTTATAATCACCATGGTTCGTGTATTTGTTTTAGCGATGCTGTAGAGTGTACAGAGACAGACATCCATGATTGATAGTCCAATATTCTTTATTTGCACATTTTAATTACTCCGCGTGTTATGCTGTATTTAACCGAAAAGACAGAAATATAGTAAAGTAACATTATATTCATAATTTTCACGAAGTGACGGTAGTGAGGAAAATCGTCACGCAAAGTGAATGCAAATTTTTTTTCACTACCGTCACTTCGTGAAAACAGCGACGGATTGTCCCAGAATCTATATATTATATATAAAAGTGCGAGAATTCTCAACTCTGACATGACACCGGGTGTTCCAGAATATAATATATTGATCTTATTCATAATTATCCCAGAAAGAAATGGGTATATTACCTGACTGATAGAGACTAGTGTAGCCCTATTAATGCCTGATTTTAGAACATGATTGTAAAAGGAAGAAAGATTGACCATTAACATGAAGACAAAAATATAAATTGCTCTGCGCGATATATACTATAGTGACGCACGGATACAGAGTACGAATATGGCAGGTGTGCGATTCAAAAGATACGTGTATATCTGAGTGGGACCTAAACTAATAAGATAAAACAAATAGTGGGCAGAATTAGTTTGGCATTTTCCATCTCCAATCTATGACGACTCTGGCATGCAATACCAAAATTTAAAAGAACAAAAACAACAATCAAATATTTGACAATTATCCTGATCATAATTCAGATCTCGACTTTTGCCGAGAAAAGGTATTTAGAAACCAAAATATTCTGCATGGTTCTGTTATCATCAGTTTGGAAATGGAGCAAGTTTTGTTTTGTTCTTCGTGTAATTTTTCAGATACTAACTTCTAAAAAAATACAAAAAATGCAAAGCATAATAACAGGCAGTACTTGCTATATGCAGTAATTATATTTGAGCGGGAAAAACAAACTTATTATGGTGTAGGTGCGTAATAATAATAATAATACATGTAAACCGTATTACAGTATAGCTATATAGCTTCATACACTTATTCATCCTCCGTGTAACAAAGAAAAACACGATCAGAAAATAATACAGCATATTTGTAAGGCCGTAAGTCGAACCCCCCCCCCCCCCCTCAACAACAACAAAAACATTAGAATACCCTTTGAATCTTATACACGTATTGCCTATAATTATGCTCTATGAGAAGAGAAATATTACCGTCTTCACCAGGGGCCTCTTCTGCTATCCAGGCATCTGCGACAAAGCTGCCAATCAATTCATCCTCAGGCGGGTGAGATAGTGGAAATCCGTTAGGGTGACGGGGATCACCACGGGGTACATTCAAAGCCAAGGGGAGATTCCCGTTCGTCTCTGAGGCATCCAGATCCAGATCATCACTAATCTCGATTGGCTCGGTGCCCATGGGTGCCACCATCTCCTCGTCATCATCATCATCGTCATCGAACTCCCCTTCGCTATCATCATCCTCCCCTTCATCATCATCTTCCACGCTCCCACCCATGAATTCCCCCACCCCCATCATACCAGAGGTGAGATGGGAGGGGTGTGTGAAGTCGGAGAGGTGATGTCCGTTTTGACCGTCTATGTCCCCCTCCATGTCCCCCTCCATGTGCCCCTCCTCATCGGCTTGCTTCACCTCACGTCGCGCTCTCCATTTCATATTTTCCCAGCATTTTCGCAGTTGTTTGGCGTCCCTAATTCTTTTATCGGCCGACTGCGTGTTGAACTTTTGCGTTATGAGCTGCCATGCGCGCTTCTTTTCATCCAGCATATTCTGGTTGAGCGCTTTACGTTCCAGAATCCCAATATATTTATTCACGAGATTTTGAAGAAGGGTTCGGTCACTTGCTTCAAATTTGTAGCGAGGCAGTCTTTTTCGTAACATGCTTCGCGGTTTTAAAGAATTTGCCTGGGACATCATGTTGATTGATTTAGTCTGTGTCAACAATATGATTATTATACCCGTCGATATTTGAATAAGCGGTCGATCAAGTTACATGGAACAAAGTATGATGTCCAAATACATGCAACCATTGCTCATTATGGTGAGAGCAATAGGAAGGGTCGGCTGTTAATTAAAGTTGCACTTTGACAGGGATTATCAGGTCTAATACCAGTTTCTGATACCCCTCTCGTGGTATTCTTTGTGCATCTAGTTTCGTTCAAAGGTCTCCGAAGGGATTTGAGCGTGTGTTAAAATCCTGTGAAGCGTGATGCCTTACTTGAAAGAGCAGTTCTCCTTCACCTTTAAAAGTATACAATACGCATTGGGAATAATGAGATCCGCTGGCACTGAGAAGATCGACGCACTCGATGAAATAGCGTTTTTAATACACACGAGATATGGCAAGGTGGCGTTCAATGTCCACTAGTTGCAATGTAGATGCGTGTATACCAAGGCGTGCAGAAAATTAAATGCTCGCTCGTTGCTATGGCGGGCAAGGTTGGTGATTCAAAGTTAGTTAAAGTTGTATTCACTGAAGTCATGGGCTATAGCTCGATTTGGTCAACACCTGAAACAAATCATAAACGATTATTCGTCTTTTGCTATACTGGCACTGGTAGGTGGTATAATTGGTATCAAAGTTAATCATCCGTTAATGTTGGTTGCTAAAGAACTGGAAGTGGTAACGATTCACTTGCTGGTATGGAAAGAGTCACACTTGATCAAGTCCCTTAGCTATTTCGTCATAAAATGCTATGTAGATCATTATCTCCAAATACGTTGTCACTCAACCCCAATCAGCACTATGAGAGTACATGGAATGCTGCATATGCTTGTGCATAACAGTATACTTCCAGTATCCACAACACACCACGTACACCGTGCAGCCGACTCCACCTCAATTATAATGTGGACAAGAAGCACTACTCTAGGAGAGCCGCGCTCTATAGCTAGCTCTGTCTGTTTCCCCTACAGCCCCTACGTCACTAACGTCTCACAATCACCAAGGACCCACGCTAAGTCCTGCCCACAAGCGGCACGATCTTTCCCGCGCTAAACCGATAGGAGTGACCTTTGTATCATACCCTGTCGTGCTTGCACTGGAAAATTCTGATCATTTTCCGGAGCACTTGAGTCTCCCAGTGAGTGAATGCTTGATAGATTAGACATGTGTGTCGCCTCTGCGCTTGCTGGTTGGCTTACACTGGGAGATTCACAGCCAGCCAGCCACGTACACACAATATACTCCTCGGCGCTGGCATTCTGCGAGGATGTCTGTACTGTGTGTTTTGTGTGTTCAGTGCTCGCTCTGGCGCAAAAGGGAGAGATCGACAGAGAGAGTCCACAGGCGACTCCAGGCACACATAGGCGGGCAGGGTTTTCAAGAGGTCATTGAGGGAACAGCTTGCCAAGTGTGGCATATGTGTGAGGCATGTCTGGTGTTCCTGCATAAATTATGACAAAGGAGGAGTGTAGAGAGTGAGACAGATAGGAAGTACAGCCTGAACAGCGCAAGCATACATGTACAACGTGTACAGGGGTAGAATTAATGACATGAATTGATGGTCGTTTTGTCTCTAATGTTCCAGGAAGGCTGTTGCGTATTTCACACATCGTGTCTACGGTTTGGTTTTGTTGTATGTAGCATATTCTTTTTAAAGATAGCAAATTAGCGGTTAATCAATATAAAGATTGATACTCAAGAGTAGACGCTACGCATGTCGTGGCTCCAGAAAGTCCAGATAAAGGGGGCAAAGTAGCATACCAGTAGAATATGTGACATACACATAGTGAAATAGCTAAAAAGGATTGTTTTGGCAGTACCAGATAAATATGACGGATAAGAAAAGATTGAAGCTAGGTACCAGATCGAGTTTTGATATAAATTATTTGTTTCTAAATCTATATACCCATGATATCTTGCCGTCCAGATATGCAGTCCTGAAATAGAAGACTACATAGATTCACTCCTGGTTTCGATCTTGCACCTGCCACTACATGTGTGTATGTATATGGCTTCTTTTTATCAATTTTCTGAGTCTATCACAACTTGAGTATGCGAGCTATAGCTAGCAGAAGGAAGTAACTGTGATTCGAGGAGGGGGGGGGGTATACCTGCACCTTTAACAATAATATGACGGGAGGTCTCTTATGATACAACCTGGTATGGTTTATCTGCAAGAATATATCGACCACGTCACGCATCTCTTAACCCGACTGACCGTGGTTTCCTCGAACATCACCACCCGGCCTGGGTAGTCTGTGGAATAATCAACCACCAAAGGGGGGAATGCACTACTATTTTTTTTGGCCAAGAGCTATTAGCGTTTATATATTACAGTTCGATGAATCTACGAAGAAGCCGAGAGTCCTTCACTTTTATGACGTTGTGCTTTGCATAAGAAAGGGAAATCCCTTCAGTGTACATGCTCATTGCACTTCCTCAAAACAGGGAAGTCCTACGAATGAAATAGATTTGACTGTCCAATGACCTTGGCTACCCTGGCTCCTCCCCAAATGCAAGACGCTCACTGACCATACGACTAGACACCCAGCCCTCCTCTTTCATTTTCTCTCTCCGCCCCCCCCCCCTTTTTTCTCTCTCTCTCTCCCTCTCTCTCATTCTCTCCCTCTCATTAGTTGCATGTAGAAAAACACAGTCGTAATGCATAACACAGAGTCTGAACTACAGACTATGAACTATGTTCAATATTAGGTCCATTACCACAGCTTCTCTCTCTCTCTCTCTCTCTCTCTCTCTCTTTCCCCCTCCGTCCACTCTACTTAGTCTTCCGGATCAGACATAATTTGCCTGGCATGCCTCTAATCTACTGGTGCTCCGTCCATCACGCTGCCTAAAATAGTCTTTGTCCAAGACGTAATAAGCAAATTCCTTATCAGATATTTATATTATTATAGTCTACAATGTCTGGGTTACTGTAAAGTGCCGAAGTGGACGAGGTTGAAAGTGAAGACTAGTATCTACCTGATTCAGTATAGTTTTCACTCGAGGTATCACAAAGTCCATATTATTATTAAAACAATTGCACTTTCAAATTTTCAAAAGTTACACGTACATGCATATAGGTGGGCTTGGGCTGCAGCCCACCCCGCCCCCCCCCCCCCCCCATGAGAATTGAAAATACTTATGTTCAGGTAGCGAGAGTATACTATATGGAGTATTTTTAAGATGAAAATTACATTGAACAACAACTAAGTGTTTCTTCTTATTTTTCTCGATCGCTTCGCTCTTCCTTATCTAGAAACTAGAATGTTGGAATTCTGAAACTGGGTGTCACCCCCAGTGGCGGATCCAGGGAGGGGTCCAGGGGCCCTTAAACAGGTAAAAACACGTTAATTTAACCATTATTTGAATACGGGCCACCTCCCCTGGTGCTCAAGAGGGGGTGCGATCTTCATTTTTTATTTTTTGGTGGGCAAAATTATTCACCGGCTGGCTGTTTCGTCGCTAAATATTTTCTCACGAATTGGGCCCCTCCCCTGCCGCCGGCTGGATCCGCCCCTAGTCACCCCTCCCACCCCCCCCCCCCCCCGCCCCTAATACTTCAGTGGGATACTGTAGTTGTTATTGTCGCTAGTGCTATATTGGAATTAAAAGCAAAATGTCACCCTCTTCACATTATGATAAGGAAACAAATTCACGAGAGCTCAATAAAATAACAATATTCTTCCCCTTCTAATCTGCCTCCTTCAATACCGAAGATTCTTGCAGATGATACCGGGGTGTGCAGGTGGACCACTACACCAGGGTTGTCCCCTACTCTTAAACGAATCGTGCAGTGGGTTCTTAACGTGCAAAGGTGGTGACTCTCCTCGACACGGGGCCTCCATTTAACGTCCTATCCGAGGGACGGTGTGTTTTCCACTTAACATAGCCTGCATCTACGAAACAAGGGAAGAGGTTCGTTAACACACAACGCAGGCTTCAGTCATCCGCCTGGGTGGGATTTGATCCCGAGATCTTTGGTTTGACAGGCCTACGCTTTACCAACTGAGCCAACTTGCATCACTCTGTCCCTTTAATTCGACAGTGGAGGGACGAACACCCCCTCCACCAGGAATCAACCTGAAACTAATCTAAGCTTTCCCTTTAATTCGACAGTGAAGGGAAGAAATATTGGTCTATGAAGTATAAGTTTCTCTCCAAGTTCCTCGGTCTTGAGCCATCCGTGTAAGCGTTTCATGGTCTCACGAATACATGTAGTGAAAAAGAATGCTTAAATATAAAGAATATATGATTTATGGGTAAAAAGGTGAATTTAATGACCTTATTTGCATAAATTATTATCCCCCACAAATTCCATATTAGTAAGGTCGGTGGGGAATTATGCTCCCTCCGCGATTTTTCTGATTGTTCGGAAACGCATACGGATGGCGCCCCGCCGCTCGCTGACTTTTTTCTTTTGTTTAAAGTTTAGGTGTTTGTTTTTGGAGTCAAAATAGTTGAATTGTAGTTCGAAAAAAAAAATAATAAAAATACTACTTGAAAAAACATCGAAATACATAAGAAATTATCATAACAACAGATAACATAAGGAATAACCTAGCTTTTTGTCGTATTATTGTTTCAAATGGTCTCACGAATACATGTAGTGAAAAAGAATGCTTAAATAATATTATGAAGAATATATGATTTAATAAATTACCATAAGTATGCAAATGAGGATTTTTTTCAAAAAATATAAATTTACCATAGTATTCTATACACTTCTCTTGACATGCGTGTAAATTTTAGCGGCGATCGGCCATTTCACGGCCGAGATTTAGGGGGGTCATAATGCCCCCCCCCCCCCCCGGCCATATGAAGACCTCAAAATAATAGCCCGTCCTTTTTTAGGGTTAAATCAATTGCACTTTCAATTTTTCAAAAGTTACACTTATATGCATATATGTGTACGACGCGGTGGGCTTGGGCTGCAGCCCCGCCCCATCCCCCGAGAATTGAAAATACTTAATATGTTCGGGCAGCGAGATGCCCGAGTATATTACATTGAATAGTAACGAAGTTTTTCTTATTATTTTTCTCGATAGCTTCGCGATCCTTATCTATAGAAACTAAAATATTGGAATTCTGAAACGGGGCGTCACCCCTTCCACCCTACCCCCCCCCCTAATAATTAAACTATCACTTGTTTTAATGGGCTACTGTAGTTGTTATTGTCGCTAGCGCCATTTTTTTTTAATGAAAAGCGAAATGTCGCCCTCTTTACATAATGATAAGGAAACAAATTCACGAGAGCTCAACAAATATCAATATTCAAGAAAGATGATATCTCAATTAATTGATTTGTTTTGTTGTAATTATTATATTCCATTACTCCCCCACCCACCCAATCCCCCTCAACCCCGCCCCTTTCTCCTACCCCAAAAAAGGCTGAAAGGCTAACGACTTGCAAGCATTTCTTATTCTTCGATTACACCCATACAGAAGATTTGTTAACATTCCACGCGTAATGAGCAATATAAGGTTCAATAATGTATAAGCATTGAAGTATAACGAATTATAACTGTATTGAAAAATAAAAATGATAAATGTTAGCACAGAAACGGAAATATCTTAAAGAGATTTTAATTGATTCTTGATTATATTTCTTGAAGTTTATCAATGACAGCCAACTGACTTTCAAAAATTGCCTGAGAAGACCTAATATTCTCAGATAGTGTTTTAAAAGTGTTGAAGCAAACATGGACACCACGATTATGTCAAGCAAATCAAACGAGACATTTTAAAGAGGAAAAGGAGAAAGATGTATCAGAAAGAAATTTTAGGTTGAAAACAAATCTGTTTCTTGAACCAAATTCCCACAGGAGTAAACAATTACGAAGCAGCCATCCTAATTAACCTTCCTTTCGGAATCAAAACATTGCCAAGAGTATTGAACTGTGTCTGAGACATCGCGCGCACGTCAATTGTTTGCATGCTTCTCCGATTCTATAGAACTAATTCCGTCTTTACCCGAACTTGATGGTCGTAACAATAGGTCTTCCCCCTTTAATACCCTTTCTTGTCCAGGTGGTGCTGTGGGTGGGATAATGAGGATGAAAAGAATGAACGGCTAGCCTGCCTAATTAGCCCCTAATGGTTGCTTTTATAGAAATAAAGGTCGAGAGGAAAGCAATTGCCATGCTTCCAAAACAACCGTTTAGAAAAGTTTAGAGAAACAAATGTAAAATGTACATTAAATGCAGACTTTGAGAATCTTACTTTCATTGTGAAATCATCAATTCTAATATCTTTTTTTAAAATTAATATATTCAAGTTCAGTTTTAAGGTAGAAAATGAACACTATCTAATCGAGACTCCCACTCTCTCTCTCTCTTTTTCTCTCTCTCTCTCTCTCTCTCTCTCTCTCTCTCTCTCTCTCTCTCTTCACTCCGTAATGTCAATCGCGTAACACACTTTAGATAACTAACATCCAGCAACAGCACAATCGGACACTACGCAAATTCCAACATTTACCAACACCGTGGGAATATGAATTATATGTTTTGTATATGATTGAAGAGCACTTGGAGAAAAAAAACTCCATTAGTTGTATTGCTGTACCTTTTTATACTATTTTTTTTTAAAAGATGAATTGTATGAAGAGTATTTGCATGACCTTGTCATCAATCTCAACTGCACTTAGCTTGCTCAACCAAAAACACAAACATGCCCATTACATTATACAAACCATGCAAGCAAATGATTGAATATTCACTCAGAAGATTTCGATTATATCATATTATTGCATTTTATTATGAATACATTATAGCGGAAATCATAAACACATAGTTTGATAAAATATAGATTGTATAATAATTTATGGCAAAACATGTACAGTCATTCATTTCGATTTTCATTGAATATCAAGCTTTAAAAGGTTGCAAAACTCATGAATGCAGCCATACCCATGTATCACGAGTATAATCATACTCAGAATGTACTTGTCTTTTAGACTATTTCAGACATACTACAGCACACACACACTATATAAAATAAAAAGTCACTTCTGCAACCTTCTTCTTTTTGATAGGTTATTAAGTTCGTCATACGGTCTCCTTCTGTGGCGAATTCATACCACTATGAAACGAAAAGTCATCTTCTCTCTCCCTGTAAATGCTATTCTTTCAACCATTTTGATGCTCTTTTGATTATCAGGGGGTTATTAGTACCGAAAAGTTCACTGTCATCATATCAATGTCTCATGAGCCGAATCATAATAAACAGCCGCATCATAATAAGCAGCTGCAGTCTTCGACGATCATGTTCGGGATCTCCTCCACTTTCAGCTCGACAGCGCCACTTTCGGTAGCAGACAGATACATCATGGGCAACGCGGATGATCTGGACACGCCGCAGGTCCGATGACTACCTGACCTGGAGGGCAAACCCGATGGAGAGCCACCGTAGAACGGGAGCCTGAAGATATCTCTGATGTGGCGACTACGAAAGTTGTGACACGGGCCGTAGCAGTCGAAGGCTTCGAAGCCGGCTGGCTCGATGATCCAGCGACTTGTCCACGAGAGGTCGCGGAAGTCGACGTACTTTCGGCGGCGACAACAACGGTGTTCTTCTTCACCTTCGTACTGACACTCGTTAGGTTCATCACTGAAAACAAACAAAGAAAAGAGAAATAATGAATGTCATGCTCCATAAAAAATGACAATACAAAAGTCATCAATATGTCATCGCTCACACGTCAAAGAGTGACGATACAACATCACAGGGTGATGAATAATGGTGATGACTGCAACAGTCGAAATGAATATTCAATGGACATCATATTAACTATCAAAATTTGTCTATGATTATATTTATTTGTATATATTTAATTCCAATGGGACATCTTGCACTCTCGCATCATTGAATTGATTTTGAAGAAACGGAATTAAATTGATGCAATCATATTCAATTTGTTTAAAATATCATCAATATGTTTTGTTTTGAATGTGTGAGCAGAGTTAATGATTCTTACCTTGGTGCAAATTTGGTCGTGTAGATGATGAGAACAGGTCTGCTATCGGGAGAGTTCGGAGAATCGGGATAAAAGTCGGTTGCGAAGACCATCTCGTCGGCCACCTGCCTGGCGTGATGACTTCTCTCGATCGGGTCGATGTTGAATGCGACGCCGAGGTTGCTGTCGGGATCCGCTACCCAGGTCTGGATTGTGTTAGTGACGTCAAAGACTTTCCATCCCGAGCCGTTGAGATTCACCTCTCTGTAAAATAAAATAATTACAAACGTTTAATTCATTTATCAGAAATTATTTCATAACCAAACAATATGTGTTCTATTGGAGAAAAAGATTACATAACTTTGCCACTCAATCATATCGCCCCATCTTCTGTCGATTAACTATTCCATATGATTTGTATTGTAACATTCTTTTCTATATGAGATGTCTATAAGTTACTGACCTTTAGAAATATTTCTTAAATACATTTTGTTTTTAAACATATTGGTATCAGTTGTATTTCTTTAAAAAATCCTCACACACTGGAAACAGAAATAGAGGATAAACATGTTTCCATTTAGTAGGAGTTTATATTTTCCAGTCTGTTCAATACATGAACTTTCTGAAAGTTGTAATCATCTACTCGTAAAGTCTAATTGATTATGATGCTAACCTCTGATCGATGGTGTTGGTTTTCATGCCGTTGTGTTGGTTGACGACCTCGGCTGCCAGGTCGCTCGGGTCTGAATCCAAGTCGATCTCCTCGTTGGTGAGTTGATTGACGGAGACCAAGGCGGAGTGGACGTGGCCGTGGTTGACGACGTGAGTCTCACCATCCTCGCCTTCGGGTTTGAAGATGGAATGGTTGGGTCGCTCCTTGTAGACTTTGAGCTCAGCCATGATGACCTCACTGCCTTCGGGGATGCTGGAGATGTCAAACGTGAAGAGTTGGCGATTGCTCTCGCTGAACGACACTTCTCCATAAATTTCTGTAAATGAATGAAAATATGACGGGTTAATTACTTGGAAATTTAACCACTTTTTTGTCCGTTGAAAAAAATATACCGATACATTGCATTTGAGATCTTCTAATTTTCATACACTGTTCTACAAATGTTTATATGTATATTGCATATCAACATTTACAAGGCAATTGATAACACAATATTTGCTCAGATAGATTAGACCGTCTGACGAGATTTACTTTTCTATGAGCAAGGTAAAATAAAGTATATCATTTAATTTGATTTTAGTACATTTAAGTAATCATTGTTTTTTTTCTTGCAATCTTCATGTATATCCAATTCTCATCGAGTCAAATGAGCAAGCAACATTTTGATACATGTTAAAACTTCTAATAACTGTAAACACACATTACTCTTGACAACACTCACCTTCATTTTTATGAATTCCCTTTGTGATATAGGAACGACGAACACGATGTTGACGGTGCAACGACTCGTACTGGAAGCGGAGATGGTCGGGAACCGTTATCGTACTCGCATCTACCGAAGGGAAATTCCAAGGATTTGTAACTCCGATCTTATCAAGAATATCCATTTGCAAGTTCAAATCACCATCCAAAGGAGCACCGGCAGTGATACCGATCAGAACAACCAAAAGAGCGACGAAAACTGGAGCACCGAGTGATAATTCCATATTGATAGATGTGCAGAGCGTGACAAAATGACTGTGGATACTTCGAAGATGCTATGTTTTCTACTTCAAAAAGGGTAAGTATATAGGGCCAGGAGATGTTTGTCGTATGAAGTTCGCTGTGGAAGTGAGGAGTTTGGAGCAAATGTCTCTATTTAAATGGGCCGTCTGAGAAGTTGAGCCGAGACGATTATAATTGGGTTTGAATAGATTACGGGGATAGCGGTTGTCTGATTAGAAAGGATCCGCTAGGTGGCTTTTCGGGACAGCCGATGTCGATAATTAAGCTGTCTCGAGATAACAAAAGGGAGCGCACACAGGCATTTAGGTTTGCGTTGTCTGATGATGACACCGGTCACAATAGAAGTGATAGTCTTGTGTGGTGGAGGATATACCTTTCTGGAAAGCTTCACAAATGAAGCGTATAAATGCTCTTTTGTCAATTACCACAGCTGCGTGACAATAGAGATAATGGTTTCGTCTCGAGTATGGTTTCGTTGGATTCTCCGACGCACTAATCATTGGCAAAGGAACGATATATTTTCTACTAATGGGGCTGATTCATATCTGTTTTTCTCTTGTCATTTAATATACAGAGAATGTGCGTATACTTTCTCCATAATTTATACAGATGAAAATATAAGTAGAAATAAGTTGGAAGTATCCTAATAACTTACCGACATCACATTGCTGTATTGATACACTTATATTAATTGCTGCCGATGGTGAACATTAAACAGGTTTATTTCAGAAAGACGAAATTTGAGGTAGTCCATAGAATACCCAATTAGTATTATTTCGTGGAAATTAACTACTTGTAGTTGAAGTCAGGGCATGGAAAGATTGTTTATACTATCTATTAAATTGGGATTTCTGCAAAACAGAAATAGAGAGAAGTGGTTTTAAACAAAGCCAAAGAAGTCCATATTTATGTTTTGAAATTACAGAGATCACATGTAAATGAAGGGCTTAACAAAGGTCGCATTTATTAACAAGAATAATACAAATATCACTGAGTGATGCGTTTTGTCATTATAATACTTGGCAGTCTGATGAAAGCATACTTGCTCTCTGAGTATCGACTGATAAAATTGTACAATTCTATACCAGAACTCAGGAGAAAGAGGTCAAATGCAGCTCCATGTCAAACTGAATCAATTTTCGCCCATTATTCATACAAATGGTCATAGGATCAACTCAACGTATGTCAATCAATCATTTTCTGTCATAATTAGTAATCTCTACCATATTATTTATTTCTAATTTAATATATTTATAATTTCAGTGATATATCCATGAGAATTAACTATTGTTATGATCAGTGGCGTACGCAGGATTTGTTTTCAAGGGGAGTGCTTTAAAAGTTGAAAATTGCGCCCGCCGATATTTAGCTCAATAGGCGGGGTGGGGGGGGGGGGGGGGGGGGGGGGGGGCAAGGAGCACTTTTAAAAAAATCAACATCCACCCCCCCCCCCAAGCAAAAAAGGAGAGCTTTTAAAACTTTTTTCCATTAAAAGAAACATTGAGGTGCTATCCCACCCTAACCCCCCCCCCCCCCCCCCTGCATACGCGCCTGGTCATGTTATCCATCATTACCAGTGGTGAGTGGGCCTATATTTACTAATATCATACGATGCATTTAAACGAAAAGGAATAATTTCATTTGTTTGTCAATACATAGGCCTAATCGAATAAAAGAAATAAACGAAAAAACAAAATCATATTGACATTTGTAATACTCATTCTACCAAGAACAAGAAACATAATCATTAAACAAAATGTTGCAGGTGGTCGTATTAGCTTACGCACAGGCATGGACTATGGTGACAAAGGGCAGTGATTATTTACGCAAACAAATTTATTCTCAACTTTCAACACATATCAACAACCTGTGATTGAGACATTTAAAGATAAAGACCAGTTATGGTCATGCGATTGCATTGTGAAAAAACGTTGTGGAATCGATCAGAAAAGGTTAATCATCTAGCATATAAGTATTGGTGTGTACTGCAAGGTTCTGGAATCATCAAAATGATAAGAAATTTGGCCCAGTCTTGGAAAAGTTACAAGCACTGTACACAGAAAGATGATGATATGGGACTACGCACACGTGCGCGATACGTGCGTTAATCTCTCACATGCCAATAGATAAACTAATTTACTAAATGTATTAATTAGTAGGCGGTTTCCCGGCAAAATTTGTATCATCATGTATTAGTCAAAACATATTCTTTCACATGATTGGTAATAAGAGTTTCCATTTCATTTTTTTTTAATTGGGGCATTTCCAATACTGGTCTTTACCTTTAAGATGAAGCATCAACACTTCACCAGACCCTTGAACCTGCCCATCAAGGTGTTCTCGCAGATGAAGCGAAATCTCGAGTAAATATGTTTACGTTCCACTAGACAGGATTGTAAATGGATCTATCAAGGGCTCACACCTCTATAAAATCAAGCCTATTGATATCCACGCCATCACAATGGATGACCTTACAAATACGAGATTATCGCAATTAGACACAACAATGTGCGATCCAAATACACGAGACGGTGATTGTGTTGGACATGAAAGGATAGGTCAGACTCATTGGCTAGTCAGACTAGCATCAAGCACCAATTTAACTTTCTACGGTCCCGTAATTTGGAACAAGGAGACAACTGGGACCCCAAATCTGATGCACGTGTGTTCTTTTCGTCAGGAAAATTGGCGTCACAATCATATTGAGAGATATCAGCCGATGGGATTGAAAGCAAATTTGATTTTGCATTTGATTCGTTAATGAGACACTGTAACTGGTGTGAGTGACAGTTCAAGTCCACAAGTGTTTCGCCTCATTAATAAGGTTCATTTATAATAAGTAGGTAAATTTATTATGACGAACATCTGTACGCACAGGTACACTAGCGCACCCTCGTATAAATGCAGGATCGGGGGGGGGGGGGGGGATACCCAGATTAGGTTTGGACGGAGGTGTTCTGATGAAGCCTCGAAACCCCTATCCATTTTTAAGGGTCATTTGGGGGAAATTTTCTCAAAGTAAAGCTATTTTTTTTTGGGGGGGGGGGGTGTTTGCCATGCAATTTATTTAAAAACGGACCCATGTTTAGAGATATTTTTGTTTAAAATGGGACCCAGCTTAGAAAGGACAGGGCAAACGAAGTTGGAACTGTGCGGGAGATGGTGGTTGTTTTGTGGATTTTGATGTAAATTTATGTAAAAGATGTTCATTTATCAAATTTGTTAGGGATGAAAAGTGATGAAAAAAAAGCAAATATATAGAAAGTATAATTATAAATAATATGAATTAAGAGAGAGAGGAGGACAAACATATAATCACTGGCAACAATATTCTACACTCATATTTTCACGTCGTAATTCTTGCTTTAAATTAATCGACATTGGAAATGTCATTCATCTCCGGCAGACGTACATGCAAACGATCATGTTATCTGTGATTATTATTCAGTGTAAAGTAAGACTGAAAGAAGACGAATTAACGGCAGACGCGCTTTTTTTTTTAATTTCCGTTTATAATGAAATGACGATACATCAGATACACAAATATTCATATAATGTAATTTTTAAAGGTTCTATATGATTATCCCAAACCGATGACATTTTTATGTATCAAATATCATAGTATTTGATGTGGAACTGTTAATAAGTTGTTCCATTTTTCAATACTGTCGTGTTGACCTATTTATCGATGAAAACTACCTTGTAAATTATCCTCGGAAATGAAAACATCTAGGTTTTCTTTATTTGATAATAGATTGCAAGACAATTTGTATGCTTACTCATACGCAGAAAAGTATCAATGGGGTGGTGCCGAGAAGTAAACTTTGATAAATACACAAAACTGTATCATGACAAAAAAGATGTTTACAAAACCAAAGATTCCTCCAGATCTTGAAGTAACACATTGTATGAGTATATTACATTCTTTAGAACAGTTCTTTCAGTGCAAAAGATTACACGCCCAACCGTCAAATATAAATTGGTTAACGTAAATACCGTTGTGATCATCTATTCTTAAGACCAACAAGACTAAAATATCATTAATTCAATTATGTTTAAATGCCAAAGCAAAGCATTTCAAACAGAATAGTAGTGATAAACATGGCTCTTATCGCCTTTGAATTACCTGGTGATCATTAAGTTACAAAAAGAAGACAAAAAAGGGAGAGAGAAGCAAAAAGGAGGTTACAACGGGACGAAACGTCTCGAGTATTCTTCAAGTGGGCGTTTCATTCTTTACCTCATGTGTAATGATCAGAGTGATTGTCTCGTCCCGATGACCTATTCAAATATATCCTCTCCATTGAACAGATCAATTTCCCTGGTCCTCGGAGGGCTCCGATTCAAGTTCTCGATGCGCCGTCGCTGATTTGCACGTCTCAAAGACGGCTTACTCCTTTCTTGAGGTGTACGGAATGTCGGTATTCTAAACCCACCGCTTATAGGTGTGGTAACACGTGGTACGATCTGTTCACCTGAGTGTATTAATGGTTTAAATTGTGAAATTGTGATATTTTAATACAATTTTTTCTTTTATTCATAGCAAGGGATGATTCATCTTTCCAGATATATTTTGGATAATTTAAAATGCGATGTATTTCCGAAATTTACACGTTTCTTTGACGTATATCATCTACCATCACTTATTCATAAACCGGTAATAGGAATTTATTATTTCATTTAGTTTACCGTTGAACAGCATAAATATTAAAAAATGAATAATAAGCGTCAGCAAAACTAAACCAAAAATGAATGAAACTATTGATATAAATCGGACATGTGATTAACTGATTATCAAAGTGTTAAATGTATTTCACTGATGGGAAATACAAGTGATATATTACCTGAATCCATGCTTGGTGTAGCCTGAGATATTTGCGCATGAACTGTACTTTGGGGAACGGGTGTGCCTGGTACGCCACGAGCTATATGAAAATAAATGGAAATATACCAGCTTTTTTCAACAATATCATTTGTTTGCCTCGCATTGAAGTCATACATGTATGTCTAAACGTGAGTAATAGTTTGTTTTAGTTAATACTAAAACCATTTTCTCAGAGATCAGTTTACCGACTTGAAATATCATATCAAATGAAAACGAATTGGGGAAAATTAATAAATGAAAAAACAGACAGTACGAATTTTCCAAATATATTGTAGAGTATTGAGGAGTCACTTTAATCATTGACCCCATCAGTATCTATCCAATCATTGATATCTTTTTTTTTGGGGGGGGGGGGGAGGGGAAGCAGAAACATGGGATAAAAATGCTCATTTTTATTCTGTTATAATTTCGAAGTAGGCTTAATGATGTTCAGGACCAAGTATGAAATACCCATATGCCAGGAGAAAAATATACAACACAACTTTCAAAATACGTTCTTTCTCTCTTGTCTCCATCCATGACAACCTATCCCTTGAACCCTTCCGTGTATTCTTACATGCTAAATCTACCAGTGGACTTTCTTGTGGGTTACGATCGGTAGTATCTGGAGTCGAAGGTACTGCTTGTGAATGTTTGGTAAGATCTCTTCCGATACATGGAGAGCATGGAACAAGCTGGAAAGGAGACTGTGATATTCCAGTCATGTCATACCCTGCAACGATAGATGCAAGGCAGATGCAAGTGTAAAAAACAAACAAACAAACAAAATAAATGAAATATAAACATGAAGATCGTATTTTAGGAATTCAGGTAGTATAGATCTGACTACGGGTCTTAGATTTAGTTGATAAACAAAGGAAAAGTGAAAGAGTTAGACCTCAGACTATTTTTTTTTCGTTAAAAGTGAATTTGAACAAAAGCTTAAGGCTTTATCCCATCGTCAAGTTTACATTTTTGTATCGAATACATATTATTAGAGTGACCTTCTACATCGATTCTCGGTTAAACCTTTTGACTGATCAGTCATGCTTGGTTGTCGTTTTCTACAACGAAAGAGAAGGTGCTTTTATAAGACTACAATCAGCTTGAAATCATCCTTAATACATTACCTAACAACTTATCGAGATGTTATCATATTCTATAAAAGTACATGACGGCTGATAGAGTTTTTTAGGTATTTTAAGTTATTGAACAAGTGTTATATCGCATATCATTCATACAAGGTCATATAAAGTCACCGCCAATTCAAGTTTCAATAAAACTAAGGGAAACATCCAATACGTAATTGAATCCAGTAACCATGTTGAAAATAAAAATGTAAAAGTGTAAGCGCTTTGGTCAGTTGATGCTAAAGCACTTTTATAAAAAAAACTGGTATTAAAAATAATCCGAGTAGAAAAATCAGACCAGTTTATAATGTTAATACAATGATGATTAAATTGCGTTCTCCAAACTTCAAATGAACACATCTTTCTTCTTCTCTAACTCTATACCTACATCTGTAATAATACAAAAAAATATGATCCATTCATCAATATATCTGACCTTCAATACATTAAGAACAAACAAGGAACTTTTCACAAACTTTTTAAAAAATGAATCAAATCACTACCACAATTATATCAAAGCAACTGAATTAATGTACATGTATGACGTGTATCTGTATACAATCAAAGCTTTTTTTTAAAACTTAAAAACATGAAGATAGTTTATCTAATAATTAGAAATCATCAAGATCTAGACTCTACGACAGTTTTCTTCATCAATGATCATGAAAGCGGGTTAACAGATTTATGAAGTTGTTTAACACAATTCTACAATGCAAGTCATGACGTGATGCCTCTTGCATATGATTGTTAGAGAAGTTCATTTAGGCCTAATGCATCTTAAAACAAGTTAATAAAATAGATGAGTCTTTTGTTTTGTTTTTGTGTTTCAACACAACTTAGAAAAGCTAATTTTTAACATAAACTTTGATTTCTTCGGCTGTTCGGGGATTGGTAGATCTAGTCTATTCTACTTCTAAGTTCTAGGTAGGCCTAGTATAGATTATTACAGTTACTGAACGACTGAGCCCAGCCCAGGCCCAGAGCCTGCTGCTCGATCCAACTTGCCAAAAATTGAGCCACTAGACTAGTACTAGGCCTACTGCTAGTACTGGTACGACTACAAATAGATAGACCCCTAGGGCTAGGCACTAGCTCGGCGTTAGAGGTGGTCAGTGGAGCTAGGAGTCAGATCTAGACCTAGTCTCAGAAGAACACCCGTGAATATCAGAGACTGAAGCTTTTAGTTCTTCAGATTAGATCCACCCGGTTATTCTCGATCTAACTCAGATTTAGAGATTAGGCGCTTGCATGCAGTGTATCAAGTCTTTATCGCGATGTCGCTGGGCGCTCTCACCCGGTACCTCCAGGGAGCTCCGCAGCCGTCATGGCCTATAGACTAGCGCAGCTAGATGTACTTCTGAGTGATGTCGAGCTTGCTCCTACGTTCCACGCAAAAGTTGTTTGCGGGTGTCAGGTATAACCACGTTAAAGTTATGTATGTTTCCAATAATTTTTCTTATTTAATGATGGTCCGATAACTTACCCTAGTGTAGATCACTACGGTAGAAGTGTCCATCCATCCAAATACTAAACCGCAATGAATTATCCTCTATGACTTCTGATACAATTCACACACAACTTTACAAACAAGCACCATTTTAAGAAAATTATTGATAAAGTTAAATTTTGCGATAGATATCGATCGATGATCAAACGATCAAATTATAATATTCTGCGTTTATAGAGCTAGAGTCGATCGTGACCTCGTTTCTCATGGCTGATCACACCCCCTCCCCCCCCCCCCCCCACCCCTCCCCTCCGAGAACGGACGGACCCCATGCGTGTTACCAAAATGTCAGGTAAAGGGGTACTTTTCGACAAAGTCCGGCCCGAGAATGGTAAAAAAAAAAAAAAAAAAGGGGGGTGTATTAACTTTTCACCCGGAGATTTCTTTAAAAAAGGGGTGTTTTTTCTTTTTTTTCTCTCATCTCTTTGGACTCCTGAGAAACTATTCCGAATTTAGGGGGGTAGACTACATTGAGCATTTTCCCGGATTTAGAGGGGTCTCCAAGGCAGGAAAAGCCCGCGAAAGGGGGGTTTGGAAATGTTGGCAACTAACACTGAATAACAAATAACAAACAATAGCAAATAACACTGAGTGGGGGGGGGGGGGGGCGGGCACTGATCAGCCATTCAAGTAGCCCTATACCCGGGCCCCATACCTCTCAGATTTAGTTCCAGTTTATTAAAGAACTGACACATTTCCCAAATGGCATATCTGAATCACCCTTTCACGAGTCACCACGCCCCCCCCCCCCCCCCCACCCCCCCCCCCCTTCTGGCTCCACCGCCCCTGCAACTTAGTTCTCGTAAATATATCTTCCCTTGGAATGACTTGAACAGGGACGAACGAAATGTTAAACCTAACCTATCGGAATGGAAAGTAGAGACCCCCCCCCCCCCTCCTATTTTGATTCTATGTCATAAATTTCTTGTTCTCAAAGAAGGAGACCGTCTATCCCCCTTTTTCCGAGATGCAGATATTAAATAGAATACCAATAATTTGAGCCTCGATCGACGCCGTCATTTAACATGTCATGATAGTTGCTCTCAAGTAGGCCTACTTTGAAAGCAGGTTTTTTTTTTTTACTGAATGTACCTACCCTCTATTTTAAATAAAATTTGACTATAGATAATAAATAAATATATGTGATTCTTGACGAGGCATTTCTCTCTGTGTTTGCTTTCTTGACATGGCATATTTGGCATCTTCCATGCACTCTTTATATTAGGCTCTTCTCCAGGTGCACCTAAACAGGCTTGTTAAGCTTATATTTTTTAATATACTGGGAAAATTCACTATGTTTCTTAATATCTCGGGATTATTATAGCGTACTATTTTGAACTGGCTTTTTCTTTCTTACAAGTTCAATTTTCTTGATTGCGGATTGAAACCAATAAACTGAATCGCAACCATAAACAATTGCATACTTTTTAATCTTAGTAACTAATTGCCTCATCTGCCTCGTCAGATCCTATTACATGGTACTGAGGTTTAAAAAGTTCTAGCTACAAAATTATTAGATCTTATAATACAAATTATTGACAATAAACTTATCAAGTTCATCATCACCCCACTTACGCAAGATCTTCCATTACCAGCATGTTGTATGCTACTTCTAGCTGACAAAATGGCTTTTGGGGAAATGTTAAAAGAGTATCTGAGGCATTTGCATTAGGCGGACCCCCCCCCCCCCCCATCCCAAAAGCCCTTCCCCCTTTGAAATAGAACAAGTTACATGGGTCAGTATAGGACGGTTCAAAGGGGAAAATTTGGATTTATCCCACCCCAGCGAGTCTGAGAAAACTGGCAGGATTCCCAAAATCTGACTTATATTCTAGTTAGAAGTTTCGCCCGCTGCAGCCCCCCCCCCCCCCCCCCCTTAGAAATTGTAAAAACAAAAAAGGTACATACGATACCGATATCTAAAACTTTGCGATCGGGTACTTCTATTTTTCGAGGCGCCATATTCGCTTCACTTAATTCGCTGCATAAAATTCATTGCACCTTGTCGTTCTTGAAAAATGCTTGATGCTCGGTCGGCATGTAAAATTTTGATTTGACTCAGAATGGATTTATGAGATTGGATAGACGGGATTGGAGGACGCATAACAGAATAAGGTTAGAATGGGTTTTAATTAAGAATTTATGAATCTAGGCCTAACTGTTAGAAGTCTATTCGTTTTGGTGGTAAAAAATTAAATAGGGACTCGACTGCCTGAGTGCAGCTTGCCTTGCCTTGCCTTGGCCCTTGATTGGACTTGCCCTTGCTAATAATGGCTGCTCTAGCGGTTGGACCTCATGTATTTTAGGAATGGTCCCCGATGCCGGGACTGCGGCGACCCTAACTGGCTAGTTGTAAAGGCAGTGACCAGTGCCTTCATCTTTGCTTGTCCTTCTGGCCTTGGAATTCGTTTGTAATTCTCACTGTTACTTTGTTGTTAGTGACAATATGCTGTTGTTGAATTGTTGTTACTGAGTGTTACTGTTACTGTGTTAGTGAACTGTTAGTGTTACTGTTATGTTAATGTTCGATCTAAGTTAGATCTAGATCAAGATCTACTGTTGTTACTTGTTATGTTAGATCTAGACAGGGACGTGATAGAGAAGGACTGGAATCAAGGCGCTCTCCTTAATTGACCCCATGCTCCAACTTCCAAGCCACCGAAAAGTTATGCACTAGGCTAAAACTGTTGAGTAAAAGAGCGCATGAAATTCCAGGATTTAGCATTCCTAGACCTAATCCTAAATTGGAAAATGGTATCACAGCAACTGTTCGCTGTCCCTTTCAATGATTTCTCATCCATTGCTGAATGTGTAAAGTCAAGAGTAGATCTAGAACAAGCGAACACAAACTTGTGTAATTTCATCCTTTTTTTAACTTCAAATTTTTTTTTTTTTAACAAGCGAAAACACGCATTAGCAAGCTTAATGTTATTGAAGATTGTAAATCATGGATTAGATCTAACAAGTTAGACTTCTAGATCTAGATCTAGATCTAAATAACGGGACATTAAAACATGCACAAATTAGCGCATTATCCTAAAATTTTGAGTTTTTGACAGGATGTAATTTAGTTTTACCAACTCTGGCACACAAATTTATAGGAGGGACGAAGTACTAAATTTGAAAATTTGTTTGATGCACTTTTCCCAATAAGGTTTTTGATTTCCACTGACATTTTGCTCGTAATTTAATATTTTGTAATAAATGTAAAACTGGTGCCTGGCTTCCAAAAGTCCCCCCAGTGGAAGCGCGGTTCGGAGCATGGAACTTCAAAGCCAAGTGGAATGTTACACATCCCATTGTTACACTTTAGAACTCACAAATGCGTTTGAATAAACTACAAGAGTTTCGCCTCCTTTCTTTCACCTCCCTGATCTAGATCTTTTGATTCATGCTAGCTGCATTAGCCATTACTATCCTGGGTCACTATTAAGCTGTTTTATTGATTCTCAACATTTCAAACACCACTGTCTGTACAAAACTCAACTGATTTCACTAAATAGTCTAGCATTGAGCAGTAAAATACAATTTTTTTCAACTTAACTGATGTTAAAAAGAATAATTTAAAAATTCAAATTGTAGATCTTATTCTAGACGGAATCTAGTGTAAAATTTGCCGATCAGCCACATTGATATTATTGTGTGCATTAGTATGCACTATGCAATAGTGTGTGGTGTGTGTATTTGTGTGTTATACCTGCCTCTCAGCAAGTATGCAGTGCTAGTAGTAGAGGTCAATACGCATTAGCATTGACTCGACTATGATTTGCTGGAGTGCATTTAATTAGGCCTACACGAGCTACATTTTGAAGATTTGAAAATAATTAAGGCACAATAAACAATGTTATTATCAAATATAAACACTACACAGGACACTGTCTTGATACTGTAACTAAGAATCAAAGAGTTAAAATTAGACTCCTTCCGTACTTGTATTTGTTACAATTACATGTACTACCGGTATTTGTTTCTCTCGTCTCTTCTTTCTATAGGCCTAGGCCTACATATTTATTTCACATCATTTGCTTATTCACTTTACATGTTTAATCATTTACTTTAATTATTCAACCCAATTCCTTCCTCCATTCATCTCCTCTACATACTGTAACCAAGTCTTGCATCTCACCTGGTAATATGTTTATTTGTTCTCTTCTCATTCTTTATTCATGGGTATTAGGACATTTCCACTTCTTACTTATCATTGATTCTCTTCTCCTTTCCCTTATGAATATTTAGTCTTACTCCCAAATCCTTTATTGCTATTGGTTTATGATGTATTTCATTTGAATATATACTTTGCTTAAAAATGTTCAGTATGTTGCTGCATAACAGCCTACAATAAAAGACAGACAGACCTGCACTGGACATCTTCTGGGTCAGTCTTTTTTATTTAGGGCTCTGCGACAATTTTGTTGGAGATTTAGGAGAAAGGATTTATTTGAGTTTGGCAGTGGTTTGTGGATGATTGGTGGTTTGAATTTATATTGGTGAGAGGTTATCTTTATGAGTTTACATTACAATAACTATGTTACAATCTAACAATTGAATTATGATCTAGGCCTAGTTAAGTTAGTTTTAGACTCTAGTCTTGATTCCAGCATAGGCTGTAGACTATACTAGATCCCAGATCTAGTCTAGGCTATCTTGAATATTCAATTGATCTTGTTATCTAAAGAATTCTCGACCCAAACTCAAATTTTGTTGTTGTTGGTAGAGTTTAACTTTAGTTTAGACAGAGAAGCTGTGGGAGTTAGACTTAAGCTATGGTCACAAATCAGAGCAGCGACCGACCGATCAGTAGCCTGCTCGGTCACTGCTGGAATTAAGCATTGCCCAGCAATTAGGTCAGTGCCCGGGCGGCGACCGCCCAGGCACCGAGCGTATTTTGGGCGGAGAGTGAAAAATGAGCAGGCGCCGCCCAAATTTTAACTCCGCGCTAAAACTTCAGCGGCGACCGAGCGATGCCCTAAAAACGAGCGGTGCCTGGGCGGCCGCCGCTCGGTGGCCGGGCAGCCACCGGGCAGAATTGGTTAAAAACTCGCCGCTCGGCAGCCGAGCAGGCTACTTTTGGGTAATGTGACCCTAGCAAAAGAGGAGGCTTTTTTAACATTATCAGCGGAACATAAATGTATCCCTGAATGAAATAAACTGATTTTGTTGTTGTCTATGTTACTGTACAGTTTGGTTTTATCGCATGTGGATCTACAAATTTTAAATAACTCTCTCTCTTTTAACATCAACCTCTCTCTCTCTTTTAACATCAACCTCTCTCTCTCTCTCTCTTTCTCTTTTTCTCTCTAGACCCTAAATTCTTGAATTGACCAGAGGAGGCAATGACTTTGTCAATGATTCTTGACTTGATTTGATTAGTACCCTGGAAATAGTAGAAGGCTAGATTGAAAGTATGTCACGCTTTCTCAACACATACTCTAGATTGAAGCCTGTTTCCAAGAAGGCTGATGTTGATGAATTTTCTGAGCTGCTAAGTTATGCAGCTGCCAAGAGGAAAACAAAAGTGACTGGTATGTGAAAAATTACATATTCTGCCTACAAAATAAAACATAAAATCAAGGTACTGTGACTATTGCTTTTGACTTTGTTAAGTGACCACTTACAGGTATGTTTTCAAAACCCTTGTGAACTATTTAAAGTAATATTTCCATCAAAGTTATTTTTACAGGTAAAACCAAGTCTTTCATATAGTTACTTTTACCAATCTGACTGGTGGTACCATAGAGCTGTATTGCACTGTCATTTCTCTGCATTGTTAATTTTTTTATCCATTGAAGGGACTGGACAATTCGTCTCTGTCACTTTGATCACTTTTAAATGTATTGAATGTATGTGTAATCAATGGGTTACCGGTATCTATTGGTAAAAATAGACCCGTGCAATTCACACAATTATTGTAAAGTAATAGATTTTCTGTTCTTCTTCCAAGAGCAATGTTTGAAGGAGAAGTATGTATTGGTGTGGTAATGTGGTCTGTCCACATCAACTTCATGTTGAAAATGTGAAACCGTAAAATGTAATTGTACTTGTAAGTTTGTCGTTATGTTAATCGTCTTCAACTGTAGCCCTCAAGTCCATTGCAGAAAGTGAGACAGGTGATCAGGATGAAGGTAACATGGCTGAAACATTTCAGTAAGTATCCAAGCTGCAAGTTTGTACCTTCATTGCAGTACTAAAGAAAAAAAATATGTAATGTAATGCTGTAATCACAAATTAATGTCTAATGACCTTAGACAGGATATGTGCACAAATATGACATAACCTCTTGTTTTTTTAATAAGCATTGAAAACATGCCATTGAGAACTGTACCATTACTTTGATAGTGGCTCAATTCAAAGTCTGTTGACCAGAATTCTAGGCATTACAAGAATGGCATATATGAACTTCTTTGTGCATTTGAACTAAAACATTGACAGCTGCACTTATATTTGTTTTATTTTTCATAATTATTTCATTCACTAGATAGTGCTCTGTATTTATGCTTTTCTAAATGATGACATGTAATACGTGTACGTCCCTGGTTTGATTTTTCTCCTAGAGCCACAATGAAGAGGATGTCAAAACCAATATCACAAAAGTCATCAAGAAGGGTAAGAATCATCTTTAATAGAAAGATACTATGTAGAATAACATGTACAGTCACTCACCCGCATTCTTTCATTAAAAGGTAGTCTTGATTCCAAAAAGGATAGTCATGTGCCCCGTCTTGTAAAGAGTTGTGATTGATCTAAATCAATTGTTAGTTTGCAGTCTCCTATAGATTTCTTTTTGTACATAGTTGTATTTTAAATCAATCACAAATAAGTTGCGATTAATATCAACTCTTCATAAGACAGGGCCCAGGTCATTTTTTATCTAGTGCATGTGAACCAAGAACTGACATTTCAAAGATGTTCTGATAGTGAATTCATTCATTCTTAGTCCTACTTAAGATGAGGACATTTATGGAATTAATGCATTTGGGGAAAAGTTTGTTATTCGGAAATGAATATTCAAAGAGGAAAATAACTACTTCCTGGTATTTAATGTGTTTTTAGAATGTCTGGTTGTAAAATCAGTGTTGAAGTTTATTTATTTTGGAATGTATTCGTCATATCTGATACAAAGAGCAAGGATTGTTATACCACCACATAATGTCTATTTTCTTATCTTTACAGAAGCCAACTCCTCTGAAAATAGAAGGAAAAAGGTTAGGCGGAAGACACTATTCCCCAATGGCTAGAACCTCCCTTCATGAAGACCCAAGTGATGATATTGATGACTCCATTGTGTACCTTTCAGGTAACTGATGCATAGATCCAAGATGTTTATTCTGTGGTCACCTCAGCGAGCTCACATACGAAATATCATGTATTATCCTATTTATGAATTGTTAAATCAAGTGTATGTAACTATATACTTTTCAAGGAGACCCTTGCACTTTTCTTTTCAAATACCTCATTTTATGATTTTAAACAAATATTTTTAAGTACCATTTTAATAAAGTCAGGGGAGGCATAATAGTAAGAATACCTGTCAATGAAACAAATTAACTGCAAAATAAAAATGTAGTTATATTTGACCATGATTACTGTTAAGGTGTGTTATCTAAAAATAAAATGGTTATTTATTCCTATGCTAGGGTTTTACTGCAGTATAACAATAGAACAGCAGTAAAACAAAAACAAATAAGTATGTTGATACTGAAATTGCATTATTACATTCTAAGTATAATTTTTTTTCAAAGTGTGATTAATGACAAAATGCATTAACTACAGTACAATAATGTATTCTTTCCTATGCTGTATATGCTCTATGTTTTATATGCAGTATGTATAAAACAACCTGAACTTCTATCTCTATTTCTAAGTGATTATGATATAGAAATAAATTGTTAGTGGATAATGAAAATGGAGATGGTAATGTTAACAATTAGACTTCACCTGCATTTATGACCCAGTTGGCTGTTATCTATTCAAGATTCAAGTTTTATTGTCCATTTATGATAATACAGAAATTTGTTTCCCATTGGTGTTACAAACCGCATAAACATAGGCATAAAAATGATATTGTATACTAAGATAAAGAAGAGTTTTTAAGTTATCATTTTCTGGCAGTTAATTCTTTTGCATTTCCATGAGTGATTGAATTTTCTCATAGCCTAATATTTAAATATGGATTCCTCTCCTAGACTTTCTTGAAGAAAACACAACCTTGTCTGATGCAGAGACGACCCTCACAAATGCAGAGACTTGTGAAGACTCGGACAATGAGTACTCTGATATTGAGCTACCCAGGGATTTACCAGGTAAAACATGTGGAAAGTCTAACTTTCTAATAGCTCCATCCTGAAAGACAAGGAACAATTGGTTCCTGACATGACAAGTGGTATAAAACTAGTCATGTTTAATGGATATGGTACCAAGTATATTAAATATATCTCACTTTTACTATATTTCTGTGTGGGGCAATGGTCTTATTCAGTAGGTACTGTTCCTTCTAAAAGCAGTGGGCAAAGCTTATACAAAAGGGGAGTCAAAGGGATTATCAAGGAGCAGGTTGACAGGAGTACCCTTTTCCATTTATTTTGTATTGTACAATAAGGCAACTTTAGTATACCAGCAGACATGTAATACAACTGTTATTACCATTGTTGGAAAGCTTAATGATAAACAACTATTTGACTGTATTTTGGGCCTTCAAAGGAAAGCATGAACTTGGCTTCATGACTCTGATGTAGTACGTACAGTACCTACTCTCTGTGTACCTTGAACATACACCACAGCTGGAGACAAAGATAAGCTCCTCAACTCCTGGAATTAGCTTCCACAATTTATTCGTACATCATCCTCTGGATGTTTACAACAAACAACCGTTCAATTTGTAGGAGTTCCATGTAAATGAAATGATGTAATGGCATTCTTCTTCGGTATAAAGGGTAGCTTGCAAGACTAAGCTTTGAACATATATATGCTTTCATAATGAATAATGTTTGTTTTTTCTTTTCTCTAGAGCAAAAGAGAAAGTCTAGCACCATATCGAGCAGAATTCTGAAACTGACACAGATGTCCAATAAGAGAGCGCCATATATGAAGTCCCAATCAAAAGGTAAGCAAAACACAATTGCAAAGAGCAATTTCAATACACTATAATAATTTCAACATAAATCATGTTGAGAACACTCATTATGTCATAGTCATATTTGTACATTTCAAAGATGATGCACAATTTTATTGGAATAACCGTATACCATTGTTATGCCTCCGTTACGAAGTAGCCGGAGGCATTATGTTTTCAGGTCGTCTGTCCGTACATCCAGTGCTCAAGATCGCGTTATCTCAAGAACCGGTTGATGGATTCCTGCCAAACTTTAAAACTTGCAGAGCCAATGAATTGATTAGATTTTGGGGTTACGAGGTCAAAAGTCAAAGGGCTCATTATGTATGCAAAAATAGCTTGTGATCACTATATTCTGAGAACCTGTTAGTGGATTACAATTGAACTTAAATTTGAAAAATTGCTTCTGTTTTAGTGTGTAAAATTGCTCTATAAAGTGATGGAGGCATCATTTTTTCGACTGCGCGTAGACGAAGTTTCATCTAGTTTTGTCATAGAGTTGTCGAACAGTTAATTACAAGCACATAGATTTAGATTACGATCGCAAGTTATAAATCAATGATAGTAATTCCACATCTTAAGTAGATTATAGCTAAATTAAAAAATTTAATATTATGATGGGTTTTTGTGCATATTTTTCAAGAGCACTGATTTGTACAGATTATTCAACTGCTAAAAAATATCTACATATCTAATGTAAATCCGACTTATTTTTACAGGTAATGGCCCTCAAAATTACAGCCGTGAGTCTTCATCATCATATTCAATTCTTGGGCAAGGTTCACCTAATGGCAACAAGAAGAGGTCCACTTCTAAAATCTTTTCAGGTAGGTCCAGTTGTGTTGATTAACACTTTGGAGACGACGGGCTTCTACAGAAACCGAGCGAGTTGTTAAGTCTGTGACGACAGGCTTCTACAGAAGCCGAGATGTATCCCTAATTTATTGACAAAGTTTTCCAGCTTATTATTAGATATTATGTGCTAAAGTTCTTTGAAGTATTATTTAGATATATTCATTCATCTCATCTATTAAAAAAAATAATAAAGTTACATGGAAAAAAATCGAGAAAAAGGTGATATCATTTCAACTTTACCCTAAGTTAGTGTTCGGATCGAAATAACCGTACAGCTAGAGACGGACGCGTACATGCGCGTCCCTTTTTCATTCTTGCCTTGATTCAAGGCTTTGGATTATTGGTTTTGTTGGTGAAGATGATTACATGGCAAATTTTCCATCGGTGATTGGATGATTTTTGCTGGTCAATATGAGAGGGCGTTTTTTCCCACATTTCGATAGATGTATTGTAGTTATTCATATAATAATATTATTAGGCCTATAGTAGTCCTATTCATAAAGACCTATTCCTTTTAAATTAAATTTGCGATTTGCCGTGTTTCACTTGGCTACAAATAACCGACCTAACTCTAAACTGTGTAAATATAAAAGTATGCTTTGATAAAAGGAGTTGGTAATTCTTCTCCCCTATGATTACCAGTGCATTTTTATTTCATCAACTTGACCAATTTAGCGAATCATTCATGTATGGACCTCCTCTTTTATGAAACGCTTATCTCAGCTTATCTCAGGACCCTACCCTTAGAGGAACAAACGAATGTAAAGAAGTATCTACTCTGGAAGATTACTGTTTTGAAAGAAGAGGATGTAGGATAATTGGCCGAGCTTTAGCAGAAGACAATCATTGTCATTGACAATAGGGGAATGGATGGAGGTATCGACCGATCTGCGCGTGCGGAGGTGCTTGCGCATTTTGTATTGTGAGTGTATTGAAAAGGAAAGACGTGAAGCTTCAGCAAAATAAGACGGCAATTTCCCTCAAAAATAACAGACCTTATTTTTCGTATTGAAGAACAAAACTTATATTTTTAGGAAGAAAAAAGTCTGATCTTTCATTTTTACATTTACTAAAAATCACGAAAATGACTGAATGAGGCGCAATGGTAGGCGAGAGTAGAAAGCACCTCCAAATTATCCATTACTGGCGATGTAACCGAAATCGCTCCGTCACATGGGAAACAATGGCTGTGCGTGGGCTCGCTCTCAAAGGGTTAGAATGGAAATGGTCAATATTCCAAAAGTGTAGTTATGGAAACTTAATTGAATTTGGTTACAATATTTGTTTACCAAGTAAAGAAAGACATATCCATAGAAGCAGTAGCTTAATGAGATCATGTAATACCAAAAACTTTTGCATGCATGAAATGTCCACAAATTTTGTGAGCGATTTAGATTCCCCCAATTTTTTTGGTTTCACAGTTGTTTTACTGTACTGTACTTGTAATAGTTGCCAAGACATTAAAATTCAGAGATGTTATTACATTTTATTTCTCATTGTCTATGATCATCTTTGTCACTCTTTTTTTCTTTATTTTAGTATACAATACTCACTTCATTTTTCTCATTAAAGAAATGCGTTGTCATTTTATTACACGAAGGAGGACATAATTTGTCAGAGAAGGAAAAGAAATTGCAGACTACTACTAGATCTGTTTACAGCCTTTTGAGCGAAGAAAGCGACACGAGCCTCACTAGATCTCCTTCAAAGAAAAAAGGTATTTCATGAGATCTACTTTGTAGTCTCTGCATTTTCCTGATTTTCTTCACAATTGAACTAAAAATTTGATGAAGTGTCAAAATTGTGAACAAAAATCTGTATGGTAGATAAAACTATATGGCCAAAGCAAAATACAGTCAACCCTGTATAAGTCGTTCTGTTGGGACTGTAAAAAGAAATTCACTTGCAAATTTTGGCATAGGAAGTTTAAATGACACATTTTTTGCATACCGGTAGTTAGGTCCAAAAAATGATTTGATATGAAGCTAATTATATTTAACAGAGAAATTGAATTAGCAATGTAACAATGTTTCTTCATATTCCTTGAACTATTTGCAGCAGGGAATGAACCCAAACTGAAAGTTACTGGCAAGAAAGTACCACTTGCAAAGAAAAGTCCAACAAAGACTGCACAGCCGCATCATGATAGCATTGGTGAATTATCCGGAAAGGTATGTCATTCATCATCATCAATTTTATTAAAGTCATCATTTTCCCTCTTACGAGGGGTTACTTAACTTTCGCGCCATGATGACACTCTCTCCCTACACTTCTGGTCTTGAGCAACCTTCTCATGGAATTAGAAAAGATAATAATGTTTAGCTTTATCATCTGGTATGTTGAAGTCAAATAATTTACATAAGAATTTGAGAAAACTTTGAAAAAGATCCATTAGGTAAGATATCTGATATTCCAAACTGGTCAATATATTCATGGCAGAAAACTTTCCTTCCACCAGAGTGGAATGAGCTTAATTTCAACTTCAACTTCATTGACATGATTGATACATACTAATTTGTTTTTTTATGTCAAAATCATACAACTGATCTACTAAAGATGTAGAACTACTATCATATTTTTATAACATTCATTCAAATAAACTTTACAATTCATATACTAATGTTTAATAAATTATAAGCATACAAGTAATATATTCTAATTAAACCATGTCTTATAGATGTTTGCAGTCATATAAATTTGGCTATACTCTACTGAAGATGTGGAACTACTATCATATTGGTATAAAATTCATTCAAATAAATTTTACAATTCATATACTTCTGTTGAATAGCTTGTAAGCATACAGATAATACGTTCCTATTAAAACATGTCTTACAGATGTTTGCAGTCCAAAATATTTGGCTTTACTCGACTGAAGATGTGGAACTACTATCATATTTGTATAACAGTCATTCAAATAAACTTTACAATTCATATAATTTTGTTGAATAGCTTGTCAGCATACAAATAATAATACATTCTGATTAAACAATGTCTTACGAATGTTTGCAGTCTGAAATATTCAGCTATACTCTACTGAAAATGTGGAACTACTATCATATTTTTATAACATGCATTCAAATAAACTTTGCAACTCATCTACTTCTGTTGAATAACTTGTAAGCATACAAATAATACATTCTGATTAAACAATGTCTTACAGATGGTTGCAGTCCAAAATTTTTGGCTACAATCTACTGAAGATGTAGAATTATTATCGTTGATTTATACAAACTTGCAATTGTAACAGTGTGCTTTTAAATGCATGATCAAAAACAGTTTTAAACTCGAGCATCCTCCTCATTAAGACCAACGTTACATTTATTTGTACAAACTTGCAATTGTAATCGTTACATGATAATACATAAATTTGTCTACTTTTTACCAGGATGGAAAGAAGCAAGTTTCATTCCAGCTGAAAACCAAGCCCAAAGTCTTTGATCCTGTAGACCCCAGCATGAACACTCCTTTCAATGTCTCCCTACCTCATTGTTCCTCTTCGAATAGCATTCTGAAAAAGGTATTTGATTTGCAGTTCACTTCTACACTTTACCACACACTCATTCTGTTTTGTTTCTCTGGATACACACACATTTGCTTTCACTTTAGGGGTTTATATCTCTAGCACATTTCCAGTAAATAGGGTATCGAAATTAGAGCTTGCACTTACATGGAAGTACATGAGGGGTCAGTGACACAAAGACGTTACTCCATATAGGCCATTTTGAGAAAAAGTAGTTCATGTGTCACTGAGCACTTGGGCTTCAAGGAGTTAAGTCTGTTTCACTAGCCATTGCTTTCAGTAGGGTGTTGGGTGGAGTTATGTCTTTGTGTCTCTGAGCCCTTGATAAGGTCATCAGCAGGAGCTCCATGCCTTGGTTCTTTACTCCTCTCCACTCAAGCCATCTCTGCAGATCATCCGATCATAGTGCTCTTCTTCCTCTACTCCTCTTTCCTCTTCTACCTTTACTTTTAATGCCAGATTCTCCAAACCACAATAAATTGAATTAAACACATGTACAAAAATGTATATTGAGTCATTGTAATATGTTGGTGCTTATTATTTCATCCTACCAGACAGCTGTGATAGAACATAGTGATGCAGCTAATGGGAAGGCCACAAGAGCAACCAGTACACCCCAGAAGTCGAGTACACATTCAAGGAAGACCCATGGATGTCATATCATGGACCTCTCTGTAAGTCATACTCTTTGATTAAGCAGAAATGATTTCTTTCTAATATTATCAATTTAGGAATATCTAAGATATTAGAACGAGGATTAACTAAAAAGAAAACACATACCAGTGATATGTATTTTGTGGCTCAGACAATGTGTATGTGAAAAGCAAGTTGTAATGGAGGATTACTTCATAATCATATCATTTGATGTAACAGTATATTAATTTTTGGTCATTGCGCAGTAATGCTGTTATAGCATTAATATGGTCATCTTGCTATTTTATATTTTATCATTTCATGTAACCTGTACTCCCTTTCAAGCTGTTTTTTCTTCTATTAAATCTTTTATACTAGAGTTCATAGGGCACAAATAAATTATCAGCATTCATAAAAAAGCAATAAAAAATGACAGTGTTGCTGGCAACCACCAACACACTCAAAGACATTGTGTCCATATTTCTACCTCAACTTAAGAAATAATTTCTTCTTGATTGATATTTTGTTGTCCATAGTTTTAAACTCAGATATATATACTATGAATGGATTCTCACATTGTATCCTTTTACTGTAGTTTGATGTTTCTGCTGTGTCACTGCCCCTGGACAATGACCTGGTGATAACAAAAAAACCAATGAACCATGATAAGATTCAAGAAGTGAAACGAGATAGAAAGTCAGAAGGACCCGGTGAAACAACAGAAAATCTGCTAGATTTTGAGGTCAGTGTTCATAAATCAAAATAGAAGTACTTCATCTTGTTCATGTTTTCTTTTAGTCTTGAATAAACTCCAAACTTTGTGTATTTTCAATGGTCTTAGTAAAAGAGACAGAACACAGTGTATGAATGAAAAAAAGAATAAAAGAGGAGTGTTATAAGTTGCCTTTGTTATTTAACCAACTTGTAATTCAAAATAGAATATTGTTGGGGTTTTTTTTCTCACTAATTGTGGGATAGGTGAGTAAAGACGTCTGGGGACCAACCTTTAAAGATGAAGTTGAGTTCTGGTCATGCGATTGCATTGTGAAAGAAACGGTGTGGAATCAACCAGAAAAGGTTGATCATCTAGCATATAAGTATTAGTGTGTTTTGCAAGGTTCTGGATTCATCAAAATGATAAGAAATTTGGCCAAGTCTTGGTAAAGTTACAAACACTGTACCGTACACAGAAAGATGTACATGGGACTACACAAACACGTGGCATAAAAATCTGTCCTGATTTTTACGATGTTACATGACATATTTAGAATATGAAGGCATTTGAAGAGCCATGCTTTTCAGGGAACATGTTTAATCTGATGTTCTTTCACGCTCACAAATTATTTTTTACCTCTTTCCCAGAACTCAACCTTCTCTTTAACATCACCATCCAAAAGTATGTTTTTGGTAGCTTTAAAAGACCATCTCTCTCAGTCCAACATTTAGTTTATTACCCGTGAGATATCACATTTGTTTCACAGTTACTGAAAATTCCCAACATTTCTGCTAATTTTGTTCAGTATCTTGATTTATTAGCTTGAATATGGTGATTGTCCATTTAGCAATGCAGACAGTTCAAAGGATAAGGAGTGCTGATTGATAAGTACTGTTTTTACTTAAAATTGTGATGTTTAGTAAGTAATCTCAGTTCCATTTAAATTGGCATCAAAATGTAGATGATTTAGTTATCTTTCATATGACACAAAACTCACGGTGGCTCAAGGTTTCCTCAAAATAGTATTTACAAAATATTATTTTTCGTCGAAATGGCCGAAATCTTTCGAATAAACAAGGTGTGCTTGCCAACACTGAACAGGTATACCAAAGTTATCTGTAGATGAAGCTAATGTTCTCCATTCAAAATAATGTTGCTAGTATTCTAAAGTCAGCAAACCCACTAGACCTATTCTCTCCAGAACAGATAGTAGAGCAGTTAAAAGTTTGGCCAAGGATAAAGATCGTATTGTTCTACCATTAAGAGCCACTGTCATTTGGACAAGATATATACAGTATACAGACATATATATATATATATATATATATATATATATTATACAAATATACACTGTCTCGATAGGTTCTGGTTAAAACTATGCGCAAGAGGTGACTCAAATAGTACTATTTGCAGAGAGGCACAGCCCCGAAGCAAATGGTACTTTTGGAGTCACCGAGGCCCATAGTTTTAACCAGTACCTCGAATAGAAGGCATTTATATCCTACATTAAAAAAAAATCGTCATGTGACAAGCTCTCAACCAATCAAAAGCCAACAAATTTGAATGCAGGATATAATATACAGTATACAGTCAGATATTAATACGGATAAACTGCTAAACAGGGACCCCACAAATAAATTAAAGTCTGCATATCTAACTCACTGAGGGAACTACAGGAACAATAACACATTAAGGAGAAGACTTACAGAAAGTCTCGCCATCCGTCTCATGTCCATGCACTTCGTTGATAAAGTAAAATCATGTAAGTAATATCAGCCAATGAGAAAGTTGTGAGATATGACATCCCGGTATGTAAGTTCACTTTTCACATGTGTTCCTATCCAACATTGGATGGAATGATGATACCATAAAATACTCCTACATGTATTTTGAGCACACACTTTCACTTAACTCTTCCACCAACTTTTTCACAACTTCAGTGGATATTTTAGTCTTTTTTTCCTTCCTGTCTTCATTTTTCTCAATGTTGTTTTGCCAGGATTTGTAATAAAGCCAGTTGCGTTTGGCAAGATATTCCATGTGCCAATTTCCCTGTAGATCCTTTGGCCACATCTCAAGAACTCCCGATCCCTCCTGCATGAAAACGACAAAGCTTAAAGCTGCTCCATGCATGCCGATCATGATGTCCTTGTTACCAATGACCTCCAGTTGTCTCTTTACAGGGTACTTATCGAGTTGTTCTCCGATGACGCTGTATTTAGGGAAGTGACTTTTTGTTACGGTCAACAGTTCATCTTCATTGGAAATTTTTCTTGAAATAACACCTGATGGGTTTCGTGGATGTGCAATATAATTCCTGCGCCAAATAAAGAGCACGTTGAGTTTCATCTCCACGCAACGCCTTTTGCGATCTGCCAGCGGATGAAGATCAATTTTCAATGCCGCTGTAACTTGACTTCTGAATTCTTTCACAAGAGGTAAAGGCTCAAGAATCTTTTTCAGAACAGGGCTTTTCCCTCGATGGAAACACTGGACTAAGTACCTGAAACGAGTGGGCCGGCTGAAATCGTTTGGTCGGATTACATGCCTGAACACTCCATCGAAAATATCATCAAGTTTTGTCTGTGGGTGAGCGTCAAAGATCCAGAGGTCAGTTGAGTCGAATGTTCTATTATAGAGTTGCATCAGAAGGAAAGCATCATAGAGATCAATGACAGTCCAGTATACGTTGGCATACTCGTAGCGTGTTATCATAATGACAAAATCACCCTCATATTGCTGTTTGACATCTGCATGATTCTCTGAAATTGCCACTGCCTTATTCAGTTCTTTTATGTGGTCATTATTTTCCACGTCAATTTGGGTTCCATGACACATGCTCCGCCGACGATTGCTCCGCCGACATTTACTCCGCAAAACGCGACAATCGCTCCGCGACATTTGCTCCGCGACATTTGCTCCGACGTCAAATGCTCCGCCGACAGGTGCTCCGCCGACAGTTGCTCCGCCGACAGTTGCTCCGCCGACAATTGCTCCGCCGACAGATGCTCCGCCGACAATTGCTCCTCCGACAATTGCTCCGCCGACAATTGCTCCGCCGTCAATTGCTCCGCAAAACGCGACAATTGCTCCGCCGACATTTGCTCCGCCGACATTTGCTCCGCCTGAAGCGACACTTGCTCCGCCGACATTTGCTCCTCCGACATTTGCTCCGCCGACATTTGCTCCGCCGTCAATTGCTCCGCCGACAATTGCTCCGCCTGAAGCGACAATTGCTCCGGTGACATATGCTCCGCCGACAATTGCTCCGACGACATTTGCTCCGCCGACAATTGCTCCGCCGACAATTGCTCCGTCGACAATTGCTCCGCCGACAATTGCTCCGCCTGAAGCGACAGGTGCTCCGCCGACAGTTGCTCCGCCGACAGTAGACCGAATTTTCCGTCTCTTTCGTTCGTTAGCCTCTTATTGGGGTAGGGTCGGCTCTCTCTTTAGATTTTCAAAATGGATTTCGATTTTGACCCATAATTTCCTAAAAAGGGACTATTAAACTGATTATTTCAGTCAAGTTGGTAAGTGGAACTGATTTATTATAGCCTAGGCCTAATTTACAATATAACATGCTCGAGGTAAAATGACATTTTGGGGGATTTTGGGGGCAAAATGCTACGACCAGAACTGGCCGTGGCGTTAGCAAGGACATGTGTATAAACGGCTTCCGTCTCTAAAGAGAGAGCCGACCCTACCCCAATAAGAGGCTAACGAACGAAAGAGACGGAAAATTCGGTCTACGCCGACAGTTGCTCCGCCCAAAAAGTGTCCCATTAAATACAAATGCTACTAGTACTACGACAAATGCTTCGCCGACAATATTTTTTTTTCACGGGTTGTTTTTGTTTCTTTCTTTTTTTCTTCATTTTTTGAATGCATTTCATGACATTATGTAAATGAAATGAAATGAATGAATGTTGATAATGTGGGAGGAAAAAGCAGTTGCCTAAAAGTCATTTCGAATATACTGAAATAACTTTCCATCTATCACTGTACGTCCCACATAATGTACACTAAACACTCATTACATGTCATGGGAATTTTTTTTTTAAAGTAGAGCAGCAAGCCACATTCCCCAATACGCGCATACCTCCTAGTTAATTTCAAACAGCTCATCAATATGTAAGACCTGAAATTACCTCAATGAAAGAAGACTAATAACATGAGAGGAAAGAAAAGAGCAAAAAAGACAACCGTTTTTTGCTATTCCCCATAATGTTTGATTTAAAAAAATAAAAAATAAAATTATAGCTCCTTACGCAAGTTCTCCGGCGAAAGATAATTACTCCGCTCAAAATCTGTTTCATGTATTACTCATTAGCTGATCCAAAGCTCAAGGCTATCTCTCTCTCTCTCTCTCTCTTTCTCTCTCTCCCATGCTCCTCCTTTTCCTGTTTACACCGTTTTCTTGTCTTCTTTGCTCTTTTCTTTCCTCTCATGCTATTAGTCTTCTTTCATTTCCATCACTTCTTCTCTGCTCCCCCTCTCGAGTTCTATTTCTCTCGTGAAATTGAAACGTAAAGTAATACAATCATGTAGTACATTCTTGTTTAGAATAATATTTTCAATTATATCCAGTCCATTTTCTAAAGGTTTCTTTCCTTTAGTTAAGTGTATGTAGCTTTAATATATATATGTTAGTGTGCAAAACACTCCGTTTCATTCGAGTACTTTGTTTTCACTAAATAATTTAAGGGACTCACGAAGCCACCGGAAGAAGAGCAATTGGCTTATCATGAAGAACTAACATCAAACTGCAACAAAATGATTTGTATAAATGTGAATAAGCAGAAAGGCTGCCATCTCATTTTCCCGTCTGAATGGGTTTTCTTCCTTACGTATATAAGTGCCCTTATTTTTTAAACTTTTTTTTTTATATTTGTGTGTTTATTAAATTTTCAGTCATATAAAAATTACATATTTACAAGTCATTGGTAATAATTAGACAAACAAAAAAACCAATATGTATAAGAACAACTAACAAAAATGAAAGGACAAGAAAGTTATAAAAAAAA